TTACCTATACACCGTAGGTTTCCAGCTCTTTATTTCTAATTCCTAATTACCAGTTTTATGTTTCTAGTGTACTATTTAACTTGTATAACTTTTTTTCTCTTCTTAATCAGGCTTTCACTGAGTTCCATGCATATACTACATGTAGTGATGAACAAGAAAGACTTTGTCCCTGTATTTATGGAGTTTACAGTCTAGTGGGAAAGACAGGCATTCAAGAAGTAATGAAAAGCTGTGAAAATAGAGCGAAGAAATGAGATACTATGACAGATGTATGGTAAATGGGGTATGAAAAATCATTATCTGAATCAGTGACATTAAAGCTGAGACCTGAGGGAAAGGAAAAGAGAGTGAGAAGGTATCTAGGCAGCAGAAATAATATTTGCAGAGGCTTTCAGGTTTGAAGGAATATGACATGCTTAAGGTCCTGGAAGAAGGGACCTATGGCTAGATTGGAAGAGATAGTAATGTTTGAGTGATGAGACATAAGGCCAGAGGATAGGGAGAAAACAAAATTGGTTAAGTGTTGCATTAACTGTTCATCCTGTACCAAGTCCTGTGCTAAGTTTGGGGAATGCAGCAGGAACAAACCAGGCAAAGCTTCCTGTTCTAATGGAACTTTCTCTCTCGCGGGGGAGACAGACAACAGACGAGGTAAGCAATAACGTGAACAAACAACATATGATACATTAGGTAGTGATATGTGCTGAGGAGGGAGAAGAAAGGTAAAGGGATAAAGAGTAGTTTGAGAGGCCTTCATTGCAGAGGAAAATTGAAGTAAATTTCAAACAGAGGTTAACAGTGAGAGCAAGTGTTGAAGCCGTTTGCCTGGTAAGTTCGAGAGTAGCAAAAAGACAAAGGAGTTGGAGTAGAGTGAGTGAGGGTGTCAGTAGTGGGAGATGAAGTGGTGTAGGGCCTTTATCTTTTGACTTTACTTTGAGTGAGATAGGAACCATCAGAGGGTTTTAACAGAGAAGTGATATGATCTGTAAGGATGCCATGTTTTACCATTTTATGGGCACACTGTTCACACAGGATTCACTTTAGAGTCATGCAGTTGTGTATTCCTGATCTGATGTTTATTTTAAAAGAATCACTCTTTCTTTTGGGTTGGAGATGGACTGCAGGGGGCACTAAGGTAGACACAAAGAGGTAATTAGGAAACTGTTACTATAATTTAGGTAAGAGATGATGGTGGCTTAGATTAAGGTGGAATCAATGTGAAATGATCAAATTCTGAATATACTGGATGGTAGAGTTGTAAGGATTTACTTGTTGAGGCTGAAAAGAGAGAATAGTACTTAAACTATCTAGAAGTGTGGAGTTAACCATTGATTGAAATGCGGGAAGACTTCATGGGGGGCAAACACTTAAAAGCTTGACTTTGGACATAAGTTTGAAATATCTGTTAGACATTCAAGTGGAAATGCTGAGCAGGGCATTGGGTATACATGTCTAAAGAGAGAAATGTGGACTAGATATTTATCTGTGGGAGTCATCAGAATTTAAAGTATTTTTCTTTAAATACTATAGATAGTATTTAAAGAAAAAAAAATTTAAGTACTGTAGACACTGATCTATAACCTCCTTTTTCACATAACAGGCTTAAGGACCAGGTTGAGGATTGGGGACTTTTATTCTGAGATAGCACAAGCCATGACAGGTTTAAACTAGAGACGTCTATTTGTGTTTTTTTGGCTGCTGTGGAAAAATGAAGGCAAAAGCAGCTGGTGAGTTTTACAGTGGGACAACTGAAAGGCTGGGTTCAGTGAGGATTGTCAGAGTACCTACATGTGACCTCTTCATGTGGGTTGGGCTTCTTCAAGCCTGGAGACTGGATCAGAGAGGAAACATCTGAAGAGCAAGCATTCCCAAGACCAAGGCAGAACCACAAGTCATGTGCCCATCACCTCTGCTGTGCTCCCCTGGTTAGAAGCAAGTCCATATAACCAGCCTAAATTGAAGGGGAGAGGCATTGGACTTCTACTGGGAGGAAATATCAAAGTCACATTGCAGAGAAGTATGTGGTGTGAGAAACTTTTTGGCTATCTTTGGAAAATAGCATCTTTCAGAGAAAGAAATAGCACAGTTCAAGATGTATTTAAGAGGTGGACTTAATAGGGCTTGAGGAATGGTTAAGAGATGGAGGAATCAAATATTCATTCATTTATTTTATAAATAGTTAAGAGACTGTAATATGACTAACACTCTTCTGAGATGGTTCTGAGAACTTGAGTGCATGGTGATGCCATTTACTCATTTGGAAAACTGCACAGAGAGAGACTGAAATGATAAAGTTCAATTTGGAATATATTGAGTTTGAGATGCCTGTGAAAGGGCATCCTAGTGGAGATTTCAGGAGGCAGTTGAGCATAATGCATCTGGAATATAGCAGGCAGAAATTAGTAGAATAAACTTGAGAATTGTCAGCTTAAGGTGAGAGAAAATAACCTAGAACGTCCCTGCGAAATAACAATATTTAATGGCCAGCTAAATATTTAGGAAATATTTAACCTAAATATTTAGAAAATATTTATATAATTTCCTAAAGGAAATCAGTCCTGAATATTCATTGGAAGGACTGATGCTGAAGCTCCAGTACATTGGCCACCTGATGTGAAGAACTGACTCATTGGAAAAGACTTTGATGCTGCAAAGATCGAAGGCAAGAGGAGAAGGGGATGACAGAGGAGGAGATGGTTGGATGGCATCACCGACTCAATGGACATGAGTTTGAGCAAGGTCCAGGAGTTGGTGATGGACAGGGAAGCCTGGCATGCTGCAGTCCATGGGGTCACAAAGAGTTGGACGTGACTGAGCAACTGAACTGAATGGCCAGCTACAGGAGAAAAAATTGAAAAAGGTGACTGAAGAACAGCAGCCAGAAAGAAGAAAGAAAACCAGGGATAATGATACCAAATCTTAGTGATGAGAGTGCTTATTAGAGAAATGCAAATCAAACTATAATGACCTCATGCTGGTCAGAATGGCTATCTTTAAAGTCTACAAATAATAAATGCTGGAGAGGCTATGGAGAAAAGAGGACCCTCTTAATACTGTTGGTGGGAATGTAAATTGGTGTAGTCAGTATGGAGAGCAGTATAGAGGTTCCTCAAAAAACTGAAAGTAGAGTTGCCATATGATCCAGCAATCCCAACCAGGGCATATTTCCAGAGAAAACTGTAATTTGAAAAGATACAGGCACCCCATGTGCATCGCAGCACTGTTTATGATAGCCAAGACATGGGAACAACCTAAATGTCTATCAGTAGACAAACGGATAAAGAAGATATGGTTTGTGTGTTCTTGTGGGTATATAAACACATAATGGAATATTATTTAGCCATAAAAAGAATGAAATAATGCCATTTACAGCAACATGGATGAACCTACAGATTATCATACTAGGTGAAGTAAGTAAGATAAAGAGAAATACCATATGATGTCACTTATTTGTAGAATCTAAAGTAGGACACGAACATACCTATGAAACAGAAGCAGACTCAAGACGTTGAGAACAGACTTGTGGTTGTCACGGGAGAGGGGGATAGGGAAGGAAGGATTGGGAATTTGGGATTAGTAGATGCAAACAAATATATACACACACACACACACACATATACAGGATAGATAAATAGAACTACTGTATAGCACAGGCAACTGTAGTCAATATGTTGTGACATAATGGAAAAGAATATGAAAAACATTATATGTATAACTGAATCATTTTGCTGTACAGCAGAAGTTAACATTGTAAATCAGTAAAAAATTTTTTACTTCAGTAAAATTTTTTTAAAAGATGTTCATTTTCTTTAACAATCCAGAGGTCATTTGGAGACTGTATAAGAGAATGTGTTTATAAGAGTTTACCTATAAAGGGAATTAAAAAAAAATCATAATGGAAGTATGCAGCCTAGAGAGAGACATGGCTAAATAATAATAACATAGTTAATTATTTAATCATTTATTATATTAATAGTTACTAAGTAACATTTTGTAGAGAGGAAAAAAGCTCTCATTTGGGAGACTATAGATTTGAGTTTTAGTGTCTTCTCTCACTCTCCTGGTAGTTTCTGAGGTGATAGATCCTTAAATAAGAAATCAGACATTGCCAATGAAATAGGAATAAAATAAAAATGAATAGGTTGGTGCAGGTGAGTTTGTGACTGTGCATTTGGAAAGTTGTTATGTCAGAAGAAGGGTCAGGTGAAGTGTTACCTTTCATTCCTCTCAGTTCTCGAGTCACATAAGCTATGTGATTCCTGTAGGCTCAGTCGTGTCTGACTCTCTGCAACCCCATGAACTGTAGCCCGCCAGACTCTTCTGTTCATGGGATTTTCCAGGCAAGAATAGTGGAGTGGGCTGCCATTTCCTTCTCCAGTGGTAATTCCTGTACCATGCTGTATTTTGGTTGACCTTTTGCCATCCTTAATCCAAAATCAAGTGACCCTTTTCATCTCACTCTGCTTCCTACACAGTAATACCAATGTTGTTTGTAAATAATTTTCTGAGAAAGAAAATGTGGGAAGTGGACTATGGGGACTATTTTATTTCATACGGATAATCTGCAAAAATATCCTTACAATATACTTTAAAATATAACTGCAGGAAAAAAAAACATATAACTGCATACATTGATTGAAGACAAAATGATGTAGTAAAAAATACCCTGGACTGCGAATAGAGTCATGGAGGGTGAATTTAATTCTGATTTTGAAAATTAGTTTTGTAACCTTAGGCAGATTGCTTCATGACGTGTAAAGTGAAGAGGCTTTTGTTGGATGACTTTAATTGGCCCTTCTTGCTGTAAGATTCTGCAGTTCCATAAGAACTCTTTCTGAGAAAAGTTTTAGTGACTAAAGAATAGCCATTATATTATCTACAGGGTCCCGAAGTAGATGCTGAACTAATGTGGTGTTTTGTTTATGTGTTTGTTGTTTCTGCTCTTCTTTTACTTCTCAGTCACCCCTAAAGTGAAGTTATTTTTGTGGGTTTTATTTCAGGTGCCCTAATGCATGAGTTGTCAAATGATGGTGCTCGCAGACAGTTTGAATTTTACTTGGAAGAAATGATCCTGCCTCTCATGGTAGCCAGTGCCCAGAGTGGGGAACGTGAATGCCACATAGTGGTGCTTACAGATGATGATGTAGTTGATTGGGATGAAGAGTATCCACCGCAGATGGGAGAAGAATATTCACAAAGTATGTAACTGTGGCATATTTTCTGTCTCTTAAATCACCACAGATTTTCTTTTTATCATTTATAATCTTAATTAAAGGACAGTTTTTATAAAGAAAGTTTTCTGAACTTTTTCTTATACCAGGAGTGGACAAAACTACAGCCTGTGGGCCAAATCCAGCCTTTTGCCTGTTTTTATAAATAAAGTTTCATGTATTGTCTATTGCTGCTTTCGCGCTACAATAGCTGAGATGAGTAGTTGGAATGAAGACCGCATGGCTAGCAAAGCCCAAAGTATTTACTATATGGCCCTTTACAGAAAAAGTGTATTCACCCATATCATGCACAGAAGTGGTTTGCTCTTTGTTGAGTATCCAGACCTTAGTTTTTTCTTTTTTTTTTTTTTGCATTTAGAAGCATCTAAGAGAAATAGATCCTGGAATAGTAGATGATGAAAAATAAAGCTGTTTTTTATAGAGGTGAATTTTTATTTGTATATAAAATGAGAAGCTTCAACTCACTGATTACAAAGATGACTTTAAGTCCTAAGACATTCCTTTTTTATTGTCACGTGTGTTCTTGGAGAATACATGACCCTTCTGAAAGCTTTGTGGAACTTTAGGTATTTTCGGTCAAAACAGCACATCTTGAGCAGCAGTGACTTTTTTCTTACTGTACTTCTAAACTTCTAATTAGAACCTTTTGATTTTTTTTTTCTGTTAGAAAGTATATCTCATATTGATTTTATTTGTTTGAATGTTTTTTGAGCCCAATATAGTATTTTTGAACAGTTCCATAGATTTAGAAAAAATTACAGGTAAAAGAATGATTCAAGAACAGGATTATATGAAGTATTAGAACCCTTTAAGCTCTGGTTTTTCCATTTTATTTACCCTTGTCTAAAAATAATACAGACTTCCAAGTGGTATGCTTTTCTAATTTTAATTCTAAAGATTTTCAGATGATTATTTTAACACAGACTATGGTAGTACTTTTCAGAATTTACATTGAGACGTTTTCTTTGCATGATACACTTGAATGAGTACTGTGATTCTTTTGTGGACAGTTGCAGTAATAAAATGTTGCTGTTTCCTCATTCCTAGGCTTTTTGCTGACCATGGTTTTCTATATTATGTGGAATAAAACGTTGAGCTTTAGTTTTCAGAAAGTTTGACTTCAAGAGAGGAGGGCCAACCATAGAGCACAGAAAGGACTTTATAGTGATAGAGGAATAATGTTAGACCTGGCTTTTCCTTTTTAGTTATTGAGCTTTTCATTTCAGTGTTTTTTGGTTTGTTTGTTTTTTTTTTTGTTTGTTTGTTTGTTTCTTTTCTTGAACTTTGAAGTTTAAAAGGACTGGAAACATTTTTACTTAATTTGTCTAAATATGTTTCATTTTGTGCCAAGATGTTCCAACCTAAAGAAGATAACATTTGAGGAGACAAGAGATAGCCTATCTCTTCAGGCTGATTTTGCTAAGAGTGACATACACCACCCATTCTGAAATGTCAAAAAATCTTTATCTTAAAATATCAGTAATCTTAAGGGTGTAGTAATAATCACAACTTTTACCCCATGAGTAGCTTCTGTATACGTTTTTTCCTTTTATTGGCTCTTAAACCAGCATGTTTGGTTTGTGAGTGTGTTTTTCTTTTTTTGAAAAAACCTTTGCAGTTCACCTTTTAAGGGAGATAACTCCACCTGAAAGAGAGAAGGCGAGGAAGGTCCATCAGTCTAACTCCCTGAAGTGCCCAGCACATTTGGAAGACTCAACATGTTGTCAGTGGAGTGTCTGTCCTTTGCAAAACCAGTTTGCTCTAAACAGACTAACCTAGGCAGAACATGCTCGAATCTGCCATTTTTAACATCAGTATTAAATGGGGCTGTTCGCCTGAATGGAAAACAGTTTGTGGGGAGGGTCTTTGCCTTTTGGGGGAATTATTAATAGTTGCTCAATCCATGAAATGTAAGATGTATCCATTTTGTACTTTCTGATAAGGCAGTTTTTTCCCCTCCAGATGAGGCCTTGTAGGCATCCTGGCAAAGTCTTTTACTTTGCCTGCTTGATAATGATGTGATACTGATACCTTTTTTAAAATTCTCTTTATTTGAAGAAATTGGGGCAGACCCCATTCCAGTAAGTCTGTGTATGATATATCTTTCAGAAGGAGAGTCTTCCTATGGATTGGGTTACCTGATTGGTTATTAAAGCTTTTCTTGTTTCATCTTATGTAGACATTTGCTTCTATATTAACTGTACTGAATTGTCCTGTCATGTTGGCTAGTCATCCTTTGGCATCACTGCATCCATTATTTGGGCTTTTAGGGTTGTCAGACCCCTTTGATGATCAAGATAAATAAGCTTGAGTCAGTCATCTCTTAAGTACTTTGATTTTAATAAGAAAATATTTTTGTCTCTTTGTTTCCAGTTATTTATAGCACAAAATTATATAGATTTTTCAAGTACATTGAAAACAGAGATGTGGCCAAATCAGTTTTGAAGGAGAGGGGTCTTAAGAAGATTAGACTGGGAATAGAAGGTAAGTTTTTTTTTTTATTAATTATCTTTTGGAACCAGCAAGGTTTAAAAGCTGGATCCCATTGAGATTATATTTTGAATACTTTGAGAAAATTTCAAATGATTACTGAATGCTCATGCAGTAAACACATAAATAACAAAAGTCAGCTTTCTTTATCTAAGATGAAAAATAGAAGGCCCTTAAAAATGAGTATTTATTCTATAAGATTCTCTAGCAATATAGAGATATGAATTTGTGTTTTCTGCCATCATTCTACTTAATGCATTTTTTACTAAGCCCATGTAGTATGTTTGGCACACATGTGTATACTCCCATAAGATTGACAGGACTCTGCCTAGTGCTAATTGTGATCATAGCCCAACAGAACTAAAATCTAGTACTTTTTTGTAAAAACTGGTGGTGGTGGTTTAGCCACTAATTTTCCAAGATTTTACCTGGAAAATCCTATGGTCAGAAGAACCATGCAGGCTACAGTCCATGGGTCAAAAGAGTCGGACACAACTGAGCAACTAAACCACCAGCACCACTCTTTACATGAATTTTCAAAAAGTATTAGATTTTAGTTCTGTTGGGCTGTGATCACAATTACTATAGCTTACTAGTGTCTTAAGGTATGATAATAGTGAGCTTATTTTCAAATTGAATTGAATGTCCATGTACTTCATCTTACTTAAAAAGCAATCTAAAAAGTTTGCATTTACTTTGTGATTTAAATGAATTTTTACAGATGCTACCTCAGATCCTTCTTTTATTTTAAAGTGTCCTTACTAAAAACAAAATATCTTCCTTGGCATATCATAGCCTAGGGTAATGAGTAAAGGTTCTGGAGCCGGATTGCTTATGTTCAAAGCCTATGATTTAATAGCTGTATGACCTTGGACAAGGCACTTTACTTCCCTTTGCCTTTGTTTTCTCATCTAAAATGAGAGTATTAATAAGTACTTTATAGGGTTACTGTGAGTGTAGAATGAGTTAATCCATGAAGAAGAACACTTTAAATAGGGCCTAGCACATAGTTCATGGGTTTCTCAAGGCAAGAATACTGAAGTGGTTTGCCATTCCCTTCTCCAGTGGACCACATTCTGTCAGACCTCTCCAACATGACCTGACCGTCTTGGGTGGCCCCACACAGCATGGCATAGTTTCACTGAGTTAGACACGACTGTGGTCCTGTGATCAGTTTGGCTAGTTTTCTGTGATTATGGTTTTAGTGTGTCTGCTCTCTGATGCCCTCTCGCAACACCTACCATCTTACTTGGGTTTCTCTTAACCTCAGACGTGGGGTATCTCTTCACGGCTGCTCCAGCAAAGCGCAGCCGCTGCTCCTTACCTTGGACGAGAGGTATCTCATTGGAAGGACTGATGCTGAAGCTGAAACTCCAGTACTTTGGCCACCTCATGTGAAGAGTTGATTCATTGGAAAAGACCCTGATGCTGGGAGGGATTGGGGGCAGGAGGAGAAGGGGGCAACAGAGGATGAAATGGTTGGATGGCATCACCGACTTGATGGGCATGAGTTTGAGTAAACTCCGGGAGTTGGTGATGGACAGGGAGGCCTGGCGTGCTGCGATTCATGGGGTCGCAAAGAGTCGGACACAACTGAGCAACTGAACTGAGCACATAGTTTCTGTGTTTGTGATGGTGACAACAAAGATGACGGTGTTCAGATCAGTGATCAGATGAGCTGTTGGAGATGATGGAGGTGATGTCCTGAGATATACAGGGAAGAATGACCAGAAACGAGGTCTTTGCAGGAAGGGGAGGGGAGGAAATTTGGGGTTTACAAAGAGGGCACATTAGCTTCACCAGTATGTCCTCTTCTGTCATTTTGCAAACAGTGAGTTTTAGCTGCTTGGTTTCAAAGCTAAAGAGACTGTAACTGGAAGGGGAATTACTTTAGCAGGCCCCTAACAGTCATTTGAACTGGTAACAAGTGGGTTGGAACTATGTTTAAAAAAGCCTGATAAAGTATGGACCTTCCCCTTTAAGCATGAGGAAACCATTGGTAGTTCTAAAGCAAGGATGTAATATGATTATACTTGTGTTAAGAGTGGTGATTCAGTGTGGAGAAGAGATTGGAATACAATGAGATGTGAATTTAAAGACTTTCTAGTAGTCCTGGAGCAATCAGGGACAAGGGAATAGAGAAAAGGAAACCTTTCTGACCTCTAGAGCTGCCCTTCAGATGGTAATTGGAAGTATGAAACAAAGAAGACATTCTATACAAGGTCTTTAGAAGGTGTTTAGTCCTGCTTGCCCCTGTGCCTCCCTCACCTCAACCCCCCCCCCACACACACGTGCACGGGCGCGCACACACACTGCACACATGGCTAAATATACTGGCTGCCAGTGATGCCTGCATAACAAACTCCTATGTAGGAATCCTTAATTGAACCCTTACTACATGAGGCCTTTTTTTTTTTTTTTTTTTCTGATTTTAACTGTGGCCCATAGGCCAAATCCAGCTTACTACCTGTTTTTTATAAATCAAGTTTTCTTGTTACATAGACATACTCATTAATTTTATGTATTGTCTGTGGCTGATATCATTTTATTATAGCATAGTTGAATAGGTGTGATAAAGACCATATGGCCCACACGCCTGAAGTATTTACTGTCTGGCCCTTTACAGAACATGTTTGCCAGTACTTGGTCTAAACTAGCAATTCATGCTAGCAGGAAAGAGAAGGAGCTTGTGATAGCATCTAAGGAAAGTCTATCTTTAGAGAAACTGCCCTACTGGTAAATGACTGGGATGGTTGTAACCAGTTGTTACTCTTCAGTGACTACCATCTAAGAGAGGGAAGATGTGTAATTACCAGGGAGAGCTGTGTCTACTGAAAAAAAAAAAAAGTTGCACAACCTGGAAGCTGAGAATTATGTTTTATTTAGTGGCCTTACTGTCAGTTGTAGCCTTGGATATAGCCTCTCAGACAGCTCTGAGAAGCTGTTCCAAGGAGGTAGGGGAGGAGCTGGGATATGTAGGAGTTTTTGCTGGGAGAAGAGAAAAAAATGATCGAAAGATTACTGCTAATCACAAAAAGCAGACATCTCAAGTATTGATTTTAGTGCCTCTCTACCTTTGGGGAAATGCAGGAGTCTGGGCTTGTTGAAAGTATTCCTTTGATACACATCTTAACTATCTAGGGCTATTTTTCCACCCTGAATTCCCCTCAGGGGCACCCCTGGGTCGGGGGTGGGCTGCAGGGGCTGATGACTTCATGGCCACAACATTTCTATTTACTGAAATGGCAGGCAACTTTTTTTTTTTTTGTTTTTGCTACTTTGGAATTGCCAGTCTGAATGAACTTGATTGTTCATAGTAGTAACATTTAAATGATATCGAGGTTAAAATATTGGCTTTGCTGACCTAGACACAGAAATACCTGCAATTGATGAAGCTGGAGATCACTACAGCTTCTTGCCACTTGAACAGTAAAAAGGAAAGAAAAATCCCAAAATGATGTAAAGATGAGATTTAGGTTTAAAGAAAGTAGAAAACATATGGCAGTAAATTGCAGGCCCTGAGGCCAAATAATTGTGTGAAGGGAAGGGATCAGGGATATCAGGGTGCGCAACCAGAGCCCATGATGCACTAGGTTACTTCCCATTATATTAGGGACCCAGCCCCACCATGCTTTCTGAAAGTTTTTCTGGTGGTTGGTGGGAGGTTTTGTGAATTATATCAGTAGGATTTCAATTTCTTGCTGTTGAACTAATGACCAAAGTGAATATTGGTTTCCTTCTTTGTTTTAATCTATTAGTTCAAGAACTATAGTAACCCTCTTTAGGTTAAATTGAATGAGGAATGTGGGGACCTGTGTGTGTGTGTGCGCGTGTGTGCATGCACATCTGTTTTTAAAACCTTTCTCTCCTTTAGGTTATCCTACCTACAAAGAGAAAGTAAAGAAAAGGCCTGGGGGCCGCCCTGAGGTGATTTACAACTATGTCCAAAGACCCTTTATTCGAATGTCTTGGGAGAAGGAAGAAGGAAAGAGCCGGCATGTAGACTTTCAGTGTGTGAAGAGTAAATCTATCACCAATCTTGCCGCCGCTGCCGCAGACATTCCCCAGGACCAACTGGTAGTCATGCATCCGACTCCGCAAGTGGATGAGCTGGATATTCTACCCATCCATCCCCCTTCTGGCAACAATGACCTCGATCCTGACGCACAGAATCCGATGCTGTGACGGTGATGTTCCTTGAAACCATAGCATGCTACTCTCCACAGTGACACTGCACTCTCCTCATCCTGCACTGCAAGGCCACTCTCTTCATTGTGAGATGCACAGGACGATGTTTAGGATGTTGCAGTGTAGGCTTTTTTTAAAGACCAAAGGTAGCTGAATGGTTTTTTAAATGAGTACAACTCTAGCATCTTGAGGTTCCAGTTATATAAATGTATTTGTTTACTAGTAGGTTTGTGAAATTGGTTCTTTGTATGGGAGACAGTCCTTTTTCACACATCTAGATCTTTCCAGAAGTGGTGGAAATTGGCAGCTGGGGTACTTTGTCTAGATATTCATCACACCCCAAATAAATTGTAGAATATTACATAGTTGCACTTTATAAATGGTGGTTAAGTGGAACTGTTCAAGCCATTTTTATAGTTGTGATGCACAATATAATTTAAATAAGTGCTTCTATCAAAGTATTCCTTCAGTAAAATATGTATAGTTTGCTGCCCATGATAAGCAAAAAATGAGTATCACTGGGCTTATTTGAATGATGAGGATGAGATTCAACCATATCTTATCAGTTATCTCAGTGCCGTTTTTATCCTTTTCAAGTGAGTCACATGCAGTGTGTGTGAGCATCAGAGGTGGGTTATTATCCGGTCTGCCTTACCCTTAATCTGTTCACAGATATTTATTTACTAATGATTTTTTTTGAAAGTTATGGGATAGGCAAATGAAGTGTTTGCTCTTCATTTACTAAATGATTGTAAACTTGTTTTTCATCAAAATAAAATTCCATTGTTTTAATGTTTCTGATCTTTATAAGCATCTTGACCAGATTTTCAGTCTCGTATTTTGCAGATTTCCTGTCTTATTGGTGTCAGTATAATTAGAAACCAGGAAGTAGCTCAAGGAACTCCAGTTTGACATATGTGTGATGAGGCACTTATATTCTCCACTAACTATAAAATATCCTATAAATCCAAAACATCATTAGAGCTGAAAAGGGAATATTTTCTAGTGCAACCTGATACGAAGATAAAATACTTTTACTAGGTTCTGTAGTAACCTTAAGTTTCAGAGCCAAATTCTGATACTAGTTCAGTGCTTTCTTCATTATACTGTGCTGTTCTGCCTAGCAAATTATTCATGCATATGTTTTTGTTTTGTTCTTTAATATTCTGTGAGTCAGTTCAAGAAAAATCCAAAAGTATTTAGATGCTTTCAGTCTGGGGTCACTTAATGTTTGAAGCCATACAACTAGTAGTAGAGAGGAGTTGTATTAGAGAAGCCAGTTTGTTCTGTCTAATCTTGAGTTTCTAATTTCAGAGGTCTTGACGTTTGTATTTAAGCAGTAATATCTTTGTTCTCACAGAAACTAAAATTACAGTACAGCTAAACAAGTGACAAAGGAAAATTATGTATGTCCTAGAATTTTTATGAAGACCAGAAAGGCACTGTAAATGTTTTTGGTGTGGATCATCCATAAAACACCCACCATGGAAAATCAATGATCTAGCCCTATAGCATTTTTTCCTTAATTATTTGAAATGTGAACAATATTTATAGAACAAGGGAAACATTTATTAAAAATATTTAACTAATACATTATACTTTAACCCATATTTATAGTAAAGGATTCTTACAAGGAAGAATAAACGGTATTATGATACAATTAGTATAAGAAATATCCACATGGGGAACTTCTTTGTAGTGTAAAAACACCATACATCTGAAATGACCATTTGCATATAAAAGCTACCAATGATGCTTCTGTGCACAATGATTAAAAAATTCAACACAAACAGAATCCAAAATATACAATTAATGCAAGCTATCCACAGCTAGCCCAATAATCAATGATGAGGAAACACTGGAGCAGGCTTTAGTTCCACTTTTTCTGAAGTTACACATAGTTAAGATTGACTTGTATCAATGGCTCTGAGATGGCTTTTATGAAGACAGTACATAAAAGCTGTTCTCTCCTTATCCAGTAAGCTTCACAGACTGTATAACTCCATCAGTAATGCACTTTGATACTGTAGCTGTCGCCAAAGCAACATATAGTGTTTACAGCGGCCATGGCAAGTCGCTAAAGTCAACAGGCCCACCAAGCCCAGCATCTGCTTCCAAGAGGCTCATTATGACAGCCATTGCTGCTTCATCATTACTGGGACTACTTGAGCCTTGATCGTTGTCTATCATGTCTATGCCTATGTGAGGGTTTTCACCTGTGGGAGGAGATAAAGACTGGTAAGTGATACCAAAGCATGGTTAACTTTAGTAAGCAGTTCTTAAGTACACTTTTAATAAGAAAGTTAAACTTAACAGTAGGGCAAGAAGGCTGCTTTGCCATTTTTTAAAAAAAATATTTGTGTTTTTCAGATGGAAGACCCAACTTTTTAAGAAGGAACGACTTAAAATTCAATAAAGATTAAAAGTATGAATTGACCTCATTTTAATATTCTGAGATAACCAGTTATAAGGAGGGAATTATAGAAGGAAAACCATGCAGGAGACCCGGTTCGATTCCTGGGTCAGGAAGATTCACTGCATAAGGGAGAGGCTACCCACTCCAGTATTCCTGGGCTTCCCTTGTGACTCAGCTGGTAAAGAATCCGCTTGAAATGCAGGAGACCTGAGTTAAATCCCTGGGTTGGGAGGATCCCCTGGAGAAGGGAAAGGCTACCCACTCCAGTATTCTGGCCTAGAGAATTCCATGGACTATATAGTCCACGGGGTCGCAGAGTCGGACATGACTGAGTGACTTTCAGAGATTAGGGGGAAAAGATCTAGAAAGAGAAGTAGAGAAAAAGATTGGTAGTGTGGGAGAAGCAAACTCTTCATTGCTTGGTGACTTTCAATACCCTCTGAAATGCTTTTTGATCACCCTTTTAGGTTCTGTCTGAACCTCCATGAGCTCTCCCTTTGAAGAGATTATGTTCCACACATAATCCTACACATAATAGGAGAAAGCCTGTGTCCAGGCTGCTGGAAACCCCTCTTGAATTCCAGAGACACACCTGGACCCCCACCAGAACCCAACCATTAAACTTAACTTTGTAGTAAAGATTTAAATAAATTTTAAACCTTTACTTTGTTCTTAACAAGTTTACCTAGAACTGATTTGTACGTTCAGTTCTTAAAACTGACATCATGCCAGATGTTTTTTGCAAGCTCACTGCAATAGAGATAATAATGCTACTTACCAAGAATAGAAGAACTATCAGAATATGGATAGCCTGGATTCTCCTGAGCCTGCCCTGGTAGTAGGCCACTGGAAGGAATGTCTGGAGTCCCTCCATTTAAAATCTACAAACAAAAGTGAAGTTTTCGTGTCATCACAGTTTCAATCGGTATTTTATGCAGTGTCACCAAGAAAATGAATTGTGTTGAAAAGAGGAAGGTGAGGAGAAAAAGCTTCAGGTGGCTTTGGTTTCTTACTGGATGATTTCATACCAGAGACTATTAGGAATGGTCACAGTAAGGAGGAAATCTCTCCCCCAAACCAGTATCCTCTTTACTTGATTCAGCCCACACAAGCTATTTAAAGGCCGAATAAAATCCGTAGAGCATTCATTACCTTGGATCATGCTGTTCACATGGTCCTCTAAGGCCAAGGACTAAATCTCAATGAACTCAGGTGGGCAGGGCCCCTCCCCTGTAAGGGAGTAAGATTCCTTATAGCAACAGATACTGCTGAAGAATCAGTAAGAAAGGGTTGTTATACTGGGAAGAGACACAGCTTTGAGGAGTCACAAATGAACAACAAAACACTAGAAGTTCATCATCATTAGTTGTCCCACAGGGGCCAACATTAGTAACCAGTTGTTTAAGCTCTGAGAGAGGCTACTGAGAAATACTGAATATTATTACCACTCCTCAGTAGAAGAACTCTTGTCTTCCCTCAACTGTCTACCCCCTTTACCCTCCCATGTCTGATTCTCACAGAAAAGCACCTCTGAGAAGTATCTGGATGTGGGTGAGGAAACAGTTTGGTAGCATCTAGATTTCAGGAGAGGCAGTGATTCCAGGCCTTGCCAATAGATGGCATTACAACTTTATCTCCACAGTTCAACTTTCTGAAAAAGTGTTGAAAAACTTTACACTCTAAAAACGATTAGGGACTCCAAAGAACTTTTGTTTATATAGGCTATATTTAACAGTATTACTATATCTGAAGTTAAAACCACTAAAGATTATAATAAACTCATTACACATGAGCATGAATAGCATTTTAATGAAAAAACTATTTTCCAAAATAAAAGTTGGAAGTATCATATTATCTATATATATATTTATTTATTTTGCAAGTTGAATGTCTAGCTTAACAGAATTTAATTGGATTCTCACTTGCTTCTCCACTCAATCTGTTTAGATAGGCTGTCTGAAGTACATATCTGAAGAAAATCTGACCTCTCATTAACAGGCAGTTGGAAAAGGGAGGTACTTTAATGGCCTTTTCAAATAACCATGGTATTCTTTGATATTACATCAGAACTCAGCAGGTGAAGGTTTCTTAAAGATAAGGCACAATGTGGAATCTGAAACCATATCAATGAAATTTTGGTACTCTGTAAAAATCCATTGGTATATATTGGTATTTGGGATGGATCTTTTTTACCTTGGCACAATTCTGAAATATATTGGTCATTTGGAAAATACTGGTTTACTGAGTTATGCAGATCTTCCAAATGTTGACACACTTCATTGTATAACATAAAACATCACCACTGTTAATATTATCTATGATCAGAAATATCTTAAGTTTTGGCAAGCAGTCGAGCTCAAAGCAGCAGATACAAGTTTTCCCCCGAATTCTAACTTTTGCTTGAAAGCTAAAATGTTATCACTTGTCAGTTGTTTTTCCTTGAAGTTGCAGGTGCACTCATTTTCAAGAAAATATATACTAAATGCCCAAGTCTGAAAAACCATAGTTTGCAATAGTAAAAATGGTGTCCTGTGAAAAAAGTGATTGGTTCAGTTTAAAACTTAAACTGTCACACAAGTGCTTTTTCTTGAGACAACCATCATACTTTGTGTGCAGCATAAGTGCTTTAAGCACATGTCTCATTCTGTAACTATTAAAAAGATTTACTCAACGATTTTATAAAATTATTTTACTGCTTTATTAAGGACATTCTTAAATGAAACTGGGTTTTAAATTTATTGTTTTTTTATTGCGAGTATATGGTGGTGAAATGCAGTGACTGTCAGTACAGTTTGGTGCTTACAAGCTTGATTTTTTTTTTGCAAAAGCACCAGCAGTTTTATCCAACATTGCTTTTGCACTGTCAGTTCACATAACAGCACAATCACAAAAAACTTTTAGCATTGCTATGAAAATACTTTTGACCACATAGACCCCTGAAAAGATTCCCCTCTCCATTACCCCCACCAGAAGACCATAGATGATGTTCAGGGAACTTTGGCTTTATCCAACCCTGCCTTGGTGCCTCTAGATGTCCAGAATCGCCTGGAATCTGAAGCTCACTAACCTTCCTACTTTTAGCTTGACACTAATTAAAACAACTGGCAGGCTAAATGACTCACTTTTGGACCTGCCAAGTTTGAAAGTGACTGGGAAGTGTTGGGACCCCAGGGCCACCTTTATTCTCGTGACTTTGGTATACTAGTTAATGCTGTCTTTTTAAACTCTGTCTTGTTTAGATGCCCTTCTTATAAGTTCTGCTGCTGCTGACTCAGAATACATTCAGAATTTCTTCTCAGATCCACTTTTATAAGCCCAAAGAAAAGGAAACATTTTCCATAAATGCCTCAAAAATACTTGGGCTCTGTGATGTACAATATACATTCACATCTCTGGCAGTTGTTGGTGTGAAAAGAATCAGAAGTCAAGAGACCTGAATTTAGTTTGGGGCCATACTTATTAAATTCTGGGCTAGTTATATACCATTTGGTAGCCTGGATTTTGTCACCTATGAAGTTGTGAGAATAAAATGAGAGACTGTATATGAAAGTTGTCTGAATAATATTTAAGCACTGAAGTGATGACCTTCCAAAACAGAATAGTGGGATTCTTGGTAATACCAGAAAGTCAAGTGCCTACAAGTTGAATTGAGACCCAGAGAATAGGATACCACACTAAGATGGTGGATCCAGTATGGAAGAAGGACCTAGCAGTATAACAAAACATGGCTAAGAGCTCAGCCTGTGAGCAGTGGGGAGGGCTGTGCCCAGGCCAGACTTCATCTACGGATGCTATACTCAAGTCATTACCAACCAGGCACTTCCACATATATTCTCTCATAACAGGACTTCATGTGCAAAGATGCTGGCTGCCCTAGCCTATTATTAGCCTCATTATAGAGAAATCAAGGGCTTAAAAAATTGCACAAGGCCACACACCAGTGCATGGCAAAGGCAGGCTTCAAACCCAGGTCTCTTTTCCAAATGTGCTCTTCCCCATTAATGGCTTTCAAACCTTATTCCAAATAAAAATTTTTATGGAAGACTCGCGCATCATTAAACAGAAATAAAGCTACCCTGGTAGAAGCAGGAGTCCTGACCTTATCTTTCTCATCAGCTGGCCCCCTCCCCAGCCCCACCGCTCCTGATAACCTGAGCCTCTAAGAAGCCAAGTTTTGAAAACCCATGCCTTGCTTTTGATACAGTTTGTGCCTTAGGAGTCCAATCTGGGTAAATTCTTTCTCTGTGTCTATGTTTTGGGAGATAGGGGAAGGAAGACTTTATGTCTCAAGATGCTGGCCATCTGGGTCATCCTAACCTATGTTAACATCAGACACTATAAATAGATTTATGATTTACAATTAACATTGGCCTAGGCTTACAAATTCTCAGCTCCAAAAATGAAAACAGATTATTGGTTTCTGAGACTATAGTGTAGTCTTCTGGTCAGTTCTTCATTAGGGCTGGCAACAGATAAACTACTTGTACTTAAACGCTGTCCCATCAGAGAAAACCAGGCAATCCCTAAGTATTCTGCAGCTGCACAGGCATGACTTGCCTTCCAAAGCACCACTGGTACCACTGTTTCCAGGGCCTGCGCTCGACACTAATGATACTTCCTCCCTTGAAGATCCCTGGCAGAGAATAGGTAGTTTTACATACCGGTGAATCCTTCCTTCATGGGAGCTCTTGAATTCCTCCTTCCATGCAATGGACTAACAGCTCTCCAATCCTTACAGTCTCTTTCTGCCTGCCTCTGCTCACATAGGATAAACCCTCTAAGGATGTCAGCAAGCCTCCCTAGTCCACTGGGGTGCTTTGGGCCTCACCTAACACAGATGCAGTTACTTCAAGGAGGAAAAAAGGGTCCTACTTGTTTCAGCAACCACAATTACATACTCCCACTTCCAGTATTTCAGAACTTGGGCAAGAGCTCTCTACATGAAGAAGGGCCTTAGTCTAAGAGTCATCAGCCCTACCTTCTTGCCTCCTGGAGAAGAGGCATCAGGGGGAGGTGTACTTGTGATGTTCAATGGGCTGGAGCCACAGCTGGAAGGCGATGACCCTCTTATCCTGTCAGAGAAAAGAGGAGTTAGTTACGTTGCCTTTCCTTTTTTTCAGTGGAGTGTGTGTGTTTTGATGAGGGATGGAGGTCAGAAGATCTAGAATAGGGATTGGCAAGCCTTCAGTAAAGGGTAGGAGAGTAATTATTTTAGGCTCTGTAGGCTATATGGCCTCTGTCACAACTACTGAACTCTGCCACTATAGCTGGAAAAAAAAGCCAAGATCATATGCAAACGAATGGGTGTAGCTGTGTTCCAATAAAACTTTATGTATAGGTGATAAGCTGCATTTATCCCATTGGCACCTGATCTAGAAAATCCTGGAGGCAAGCTTATCACTGACAAAGCCCTTGGATTAAGGTTTAGATTTCAGGTTTGTGAATTTCAAGTAGTTGGCCAATTTCCTCACAGCCAGATCTCAGAGTGGATTGGTAGAACTTTAGAAGTCCAACCTGTATCTCTGATAGATGAACTAGACTCCACAGCAAATGATTTATCCTCTAACCCACAAAACACTGCTTGGCTAGTGAATGCTCAGAAGGAGGGTGCTGGGGCAGCTCAGCCACACCTAGAAACTAGTCTTACAGTCATAGTCGTCATTGTCTAAGGAAACAGGTGATGAAAAACAGGTTCAAGCCCTTCTCAGCTAGCTTATTTCTCAGCATAGTAGGTTTACAGAGGCAAAGACTTAGAATATAAATCCACATAAACTCTTGTCAAGTTGAAGAACCTCAGGAAGGGAAAGCATGACAGGGCACCACAGCTAGAGTTTAAGGGAGACTTGAGTGGCAGCTGTGACTACCAGGCTCTTAGCACCTACATGGATGAATGAATGCAGCTTCTGGGTGACCCTGGGACCCCTCCACTGCCCAGGAGACTTGGCTCTTGGCTGTACTGCCTAGTTCTGTAATTTCTGAGTAAACAAGATCTCTCTCTCCCCTCTGGACCATAAGCTCCTCAAAGGCAGGCTACAACTATATACCAGGTATTCTTCACTCACACAGATGACTACTAATTGCTTATAGAAAAAATTACTGAATGTCTCCTACTTTTCCCTACCTACACCTGTGGAACCACTATTGCCCCAGTTTCCCTATCTTGGAATTGCTTTTTCATCATTCCTTATTTCATCTTCAATATCTAGTCCTTAAATTACTGATTTCTCTTTTCAACACAATTATCACTCTAGAGTGGGCCTCATTTTGAGTCATTAAGCATGCTTAGCTTCATCTCTTCCTATTCCAATCCAACTTTGAGGCTTATTAACACACATCGCTCAGCACTCTACAATGCACGGGGTCTTAACATTTTCTTCCAGTCTCAACTTCTCAGCATCATTTCTGAGAATTCTTAGGACTCTCCCATCACGGCTCTGTGGTTCTTTCCTACAAAGAAGCTGCCCAGGCATGTGGCCTGCTTTTTTTTTTTAATCCTGAATATGCCACTCACATGCCCACTCGAGCGCGTGGCTGTCTTTTTAGAAGGAATGTACACCTTCATCACAAAACTCAGCTAAAGCCAAGATCAAACCCTTCCTCCCTTGTTTGCTTCTGCCCAAGGAATCTTCGTTTTTGCTTTTATCATGAAGAAAATAGGCTTCGCAAAGATTCAAGGGCTGTTTTATACTATTCTTGGATGGTTTCAAGCAAAGCACTGGGTATGCACACAGTGGCTGATCAGCACCACATTATCACTGCACACCGCCCCCCACCCCCCCCCCCACCCCCCCACATCTCCTTCCTGAAACAGACTGAAGCAGCCACATCCATCCTTCCTGAAGGGCTGGAGCAGAACTGTGCTACCCACTGGGATGAGAGCCCCTCTGTGGCCAATGAGAAAACAAGGCCAGCTTCCCTTTCTCCTCAGAGAATCAATCCAGTGGCAGCAGGGATCCTTTGATTAAGTCCGATTAAGTTTGCATTCCCAAGGACCTGGTTTCCACCCTCTCCATTCTCTAAATTCAAACGGACTTATAATTACTGCTTCCCACTCAATGACTGCTCTTAAAGACTTAGGTTTAATTAACAATTTTTGAGCACTCACCACTTGTCAGTTTCTGTCGCTACATGACACCAACTTGTCAGTTCTAGGAACTTTCCTGAGTTCTCTCACAGTCCTAGAGCAATCTGGGGGAGACAGATAATTGCCTTCCTTTTATGGTTTAAGTCAACCAAGAGTCCAAGAAGTTGAGTGACTCTTCTGAACAGAGGCCGAGGACTCAGGTAAACTACTTGAGCTTCTTTCATATGGAAAAGAAGGCCCACCCACGCAAGTTTCTATTAGGAGCTGATTAGCTTGGCCTCTATTACTAATCCTAGGCAGCTTTTTGACCGGAAGTGTTAGGCTGGGATCATGGCAGTTCACGGTCTGCTTCTGCAGTCCTGTGATGTCAGCGCTCATCTATCCGCTGGGAAGCTCCTTGGGTCCTACACAGAGCAGTAAGCAAGCTGGGCCTCCCAGGGTTCCCTTTGGCGCTGACCTATTCAGGTTCGGCTTCTTTATTTAAAGGCACTTCTTCTTAATCCCAACACTCCTGACATTTTGGACTGAAAAATTCTCTCTCAGGGGGCAGGGGTTGGGAGGGCTGTCCAGCGTACTGTAGGATGTTTAGCAAGCAGCATCTCTGTCCTCTCTCCCCTGGATGTTTAGCAGCAAAAACTCCCACTCAGCTGTGACAACCAGAAATGTCTCCAGACATCAACAAATCGTCCCCCAGGGGGCAAAATGCCACAGCATGAACACTGGTTTAAGCGAACAGCTAGGTGTTACTTGCCTGTGGATTTCCATGATTTCCTCAGCAATCATGCGACCTATTTTTCCTGCCCCAGCCCTGGTTCCCCCTGGAATCCCTGGAACAGTGGGGTGGGTCCTCTTCGGGCCACCTACAACAGAGGAATCTGAGAGTGGGAAAGGGGAAAACCGAGGGAGAAGACGCCATTACGTGTTGAATTAAAACCAGTTCTTCCCATGATCCACTTGAAGTTCAACTTTAGGGTTGTGCCCAGAGGACATAAGAGCCATGGCTTTTCAGGAAAGGGCATTCCAGCAGGAAAAAGCTCACGTTTCCTTCCAGGATCAGACATGCTGATACATAGCCTCTAATTCCTCATGCACGCCACATCCATTTACTGAACACCACTGTGCTGCAGGCCAGGGGCACAGAGATTAGGTCCGCATACCTGCCCTCAAGGAGCTCACAGTCTAAGGAGGAGACACATAAGACAAACAAGGGCTGGAGAGCACTGTGCTAAGTCTGGCAGGGCGGCACCAGGCATCCGGGGCCAGGTGCCGTTTCCTGGAGGAGACTAACTCTGAGCTGGGTCTCGTGAGAGGAGCACATTATCAGGGGGGCAGAGAGGAAAGGAAGGGAAAGTGTTCCGGGCACAGCTGCCGGTGTACACCAGAGTGCCGAGGAGGGCACAGCTTGGGAGATGATGCCAAGAAATGCAGTGCAGTGATGGTGGAGGAGTAAGTGAGCGATGAAACGGAGAAGCAGCTACCAGCCGGACCAGGAAGGGCCTTGGACGCCACGCTAACAGATTTGAGCCGTACCCACAGGGGATAAGCAGTGCCAAAGGACCGACTCAGATGCAGGTCATTGAGGTCACCGCACAGCGAACTGCAGTGGGGGATGGGGTACAGAGTGGAGAGCGTGAGACGAGGGCTGGGGAGTTACCTGCAGTAATCCAGGCAACAGATGGGGAAGGTGGCGATGGGGAGGTTTAAAGGTAGAAGGGGCAAGATTTCGTGTTTCCATGTAATGGGAGAGAGGTAGAAGTCATGGTTTCTGGCTTAACCAACAGGGTTGGGGGTGGGGGGCTACTGTTGTGCGGAAAACCGACGTGGACGTGCGGAGTTATAGGTGCCTCCTTTGGGACTCCAGGAGGCAGCTGGAGGAACAGGCCTGGAGGGAGCGAATGTAGGACTCATCGACGAAGAGATGGGGACTGAAGCCATGCAAGCGGCGGCAGGCCCAGGAAGGAGTCGGGGGCACAGAGCGGCGGCCAAGGCCGGGTTGGGGGAGGGGGCCCAGCACGGCTCACCCCGCGGTGCTGACAGACACCCTCCTCCCACCTCAGGAGCCAGCGGCCGTGACCGAAGAGCCCTTCACATCACAGCTGCTGGGCAGCACCGTGGGAGGACAGCACATGCAGCAAGGTGCTGGCCATTTCACGGGCTTCCGGGGTCCAGGCAGCCTCAGGAAAGGCGAGACCAAGTTCCCAGTATTTCAAGCTCAACAGAGAAAGTGAGATGGCAGGGTCCTTTGTGATCACTCCCGCGAGGCCCCCCTCCTTGTTCCACAGAATATGGTGGCTGGGGAGCCCAAACACGGGGGCGGGGGGTGGTGGCCACAAGCAGCCCCTCACGGGCAAGCCCCAGCGCCCCGGTGGCACATAGTTACCTTCTCCAGAGGGCAGCATGCTGTCCATGCTGTGGGGGGACGCTGTGAGCTGCGGGAAGCTGGGGTCCCCGCCTTCCAGGACGTTGGCTCTGTGAACATCCCAGCAACAAGGAAACGTGAGTCAGGCCCGCCCAGAACTGTGCACCTTTCACCTTGGCCAAGGTGTCCAGTGTCCACTCTGGACCTGGACAGGCCAGAAAACCAAGTGTCTGAGTGGCTCAGCGGGTCTCCTCGCTGCCAGAGAACACGGCGGACAGCGTCCGGGGCTCTGGCCTTCCTAGCACACGCGGGGTGCGGTCCAGCAGGGGTGGTGATGCCGCAGCCACTGCCGCTGCCACGAGGCTCCTCTCCGGGCAGCCGGCAAGGCACCGACCCCAGCCCCTCAGTCAGCTCTACCTACGGGTGGGGGGTTGCACATCATCAGGAAGGAGATGTGGGGAGCAGGCGGCAGGGTGGGGGCCTTCCCTTCCCTGCTCACCCAGCAGGTGGCAGCCTTTGAGGCGTCATTCCGGCAGCGGTGAGCGCTCAGGCCACCAGCCTGGGGGGCACAGATCCCCACCCCTCCTCCGCCAAGGCCCGTATGGGCTGGTGAGCCTTTTAAGGGTTATCAACCCTTCCCTCCATAGCGACACCAATGGATGCCAGGCCTGCAGAACTCAAAGGCTGGCTGCTTTGTCGGGAAGGAAAGGCTGCCGTCTCCGAGAGCCTTTCCAGCAGCTGGGGGCCTGAGAGTTCTGAGTACTGAAGCACGTCCTTTGTTAACCACCTTCTGGCTTCTGCCCGTCCTGAGGCTTCACAGGAGACTAGCAAGATGACAGTAAAGGATGGGATACTGGTTGTTGCCCGTATCCCCTTTCCCAGGTAAGGGGCCCAAGGCATTTCTCCTTGAAGCAAGGGAGTTTCTGAAATAGGAAAGACACTTACAAAACAACGGTGTTGGTGGAGACAATGTACTCTACTTCCTTGGTCCAAGGGTTCATGAAACTGAACCACCGACTCCGTAGTGTGATGAAAGAACCATCTTTGATTTTAAACTTGTAGCAATTAGTGGTAATTTTTTCTCTTGTCTGTAAAACTGATAATACAAAGAAACCATGAACATTATTGTTCCCGCAGAACAATGCATTAAACTATAACCAAATCCGAAATGTGCTCAGGCTCCAAGGCCATCGCCTCTTTAATAAGCCATGGGAGGTGGCACCTCAGAGAAGAGGATGTTTCTGAGGGCCTGATTCTGAGCCTTCCAATTTGGTTGTGAACCTGTCACTGTTCTTCAGAGTGTATGAAATGAAGGAAATAACAGTGCATTCTAGACATTTAACTGGATTCATCTATGAAGTGAACGCCACACAAGAAGGCACGATCCACAGGGACCATGTTATCTCCCCATCACAAAGCCAGATGTCCAGAGGACATCCTGATTCAGACAGCATCTCACCCATGGAAACCTCATTCTTTCATGTAACAAACATGTAGCAAGTATGCTTCATGCGCCAGGTACTAGAGATAAAAGAGGAGACAGGATATGACTTGCCCCTCAGGAGAGGAATGAGGGACAGCTGTGCAGAGGAGATCAGAGCCTTCAGGGGTGAATACAAGTCTGCCAAAAGGAAGGAGGGAAGAACCCAGTGCTGCCTGAGGAGTGGCAGGGCGTGGGGCGGGGGAGGGAATGGCAAGACGTCAGTATGTCTGGAGGACAAGGCCACTGCAGGCAGGGATCAGGTAGGGAGGTGAAGCTGGGGAGGTGGCTCAGCGCCGGGACGTGAAGGGTCTTGAGCATCTGTCAGAGGTGACTAGGCAGGGGGCTCTGAGCAGAGACGTAGGCTATCAGGCTCAGCCTGTCAGAGCCTAAGCGGGACAGCAGTGGAGGATGGATTGGCGGGTCAGAGGCAAGTCCATCACAATTATCAGGTGGGTACCAGGACTGCACCAGGGTGTTGGCAGAAAGGGGCCTCTTTGGAGATGCATGGCTGAGGTGAATGAACAGTTCTGATGGAGCAAAGAGTAAAGGAGGCTACTGTCTCAGGAGGCCACGTATGTAGCCACACCATTAACCAAGAGGAAAATGCAGGAGGCGGTACAGAGGTTTGTAGAAAATTAAGATCTGCTTGGGCCATACTAAATCTTTACATAGTCCAGGGAAACCCTCTGAACCAGAGATGCCTTCCAGAAGTTGCCCCGGCCTGCGTAGACATCTGCTAGGCAGCTGGGGTGGGGGGTTATCTGGAAGGGGGTAGAGGGGGCCTGGGGCAGGAGCAGCATCCTCTCCTCCCAGACGGTCTGGCCTGCAGGTCCCTGGGCTGGCTGACTCCCACCTCACGGGGGCAGATTGCTCTACAAGGGTCCATGACATGTCCAGAAGCAGGGGGACACTTGAAACTTAAGCCCTGGTGTACAGCCCAGCAGCTTACCCTGCCTATGACATTCTGCGAGATGTCCTATGTCGTCTTGATGGAAATACTCATAACACGACGTGCCTAGAAGTTCTTGTGGTAAATATGCCAAAATAGCTGTTGCCCTAAAAGGGGAAAAAAATTTTTTTTTTTTTAAAAAAAAAGAAAAAATCATTCAGACAATTAACAGCATCTCTGCAGTGGATGACTCCTGCTACAGCCAATGAAAACAAGGTCAAAGCTGGGTGAGTTCAGAGGGCTTATTACATGGGTTTTGTTCTTTCTCATGAAGCTGACTTTAATCGGGGTTACAAAAACAGAGAGAGAAAGCAAAGACTTTCAGAGGAGCTGTTAGCACAAGACATCAAATTTTAGGTTTAAAAGTAGTAACTGTTTTAGATTAAAAAAAGTAGTAGGACTCTAAACTCCAGATCAAAGCTTCTCCAATTTACTGCCTGCTTTTTATCAGAGTGACCAGAAGCCCGTTGTGGGGCCCACAGGGACCTTGAGAAGTAACTGCCTCCTTTTCTAGTATTTAGTGGCTGGCTATTTCCAGTAGCCACAGAAACTACTAGCCTGTGGATACTTGTAAGGAGGCAGCAGAGAGCAGTGGAAATTTGGGTTCTTAGTCCAGGTCTACTGCCAATGAGTTACGAATCTTGGAGGGGGCTGCTCTTCAGGCTGAGCCTCAGTTCATCACCCATAAAGAAAGAGACTGGACTAGATCAGTGCTGCCAGCAGAAATTTCTGTGAAGACAGAAATGTTCCATTCAGGTACCACTAGCCACTGCTGCTGCTATTTAGTCACTAACTTGTATCCAATCCTTTGTGACCCCATGGACTGCAGCCCACCAGGCTCCTCTGTCCATGGGATTTCCCAGGCAAGAATACTGGAGTGGGCTGCCATTTCCCTCTCCAGGGGATCTTCCTGACCCATGGATTGAACCCGTGTCTCCTGCATTGGCAGGCAGATTCTTTATAGCTGAGCCACCAGGGAAGCCACATGTGACTACTAATACTTGAAATGTTGTTAGTGAGCTGGGGGAATTTAATTTCACATTTTATTTAATTTTAATTGGTTAAATTAAATTGCCACATGGGGTTACTACAGCCAATGACTACTGTATTGATAACTCAAGACTAGATAATCTTTTCCAAGTCCCACATCCCAGAATTCACAGTAATTAATGAAACACTCCATAGATTCAGATAGCATGCTATGTCTCTTATTTCTCTTTTAGCCACGGACATCAAGCCACCCCACTTCACTGTCTCTACCTGCCAAAGAATGACACGGAGAAAATCTCTGTATTTATGATGATAACCCACTAGGTCTCATTTTTCAGCAGATCCACCCATCACTTCCTCCTCTCTGTCCTTATGAAAGGCAGCCAGTCTGCTCTGCTTTACTCAGGGTTGAAAATCTGCTGCCAGACTGTCCAAGGGTAACGTGCAGACTCTCACCTCTGGTCTACAAAAACAAACTTCCCATCTATCGCGTGCCGGGAGACATACTCCATTGATTTCACCCTGATTTCCCCGTTTGCCGGCTGTGGAAGCATGTGAGAGTGCAGCCGTCCGATGGCGACAAGGCAGCTGAGATTACACCCCTCGTTGTCTGGCTCGTTGTCTTCATCCAGCCCCATCTTTGTGGGCGGCCAGCTTTTCAGATAGCCTGTGCTGTGGATTGTGCAGAAGCTTTTTCGATCTGCTGGAAAGCAAAGTCCAATGTCAGTGGGGCTTTGGGGCCTGGAGGCACAGGCAGCCTATCGTGCGTTGGGATGTAGGGAGGGACTGAAAATATAAAAATCAAAGCCTACTGTCCAGAAGTTAGCATCAAGTGAAAGAGAAAGACAGACAGATCAGGCATGATCCCGCGTCATGTGTGTTTCGTAGCCATGATGACACCAAATGGGCATCACATACTCCAAGGAAGGAGCAGCACAGTCTCCCTGGGCAGAGGCAGGCTGCCCGGAAGAACTGTTTAGGAGGAGGGCCGGGAAGGATGAGCACTGGCTAAAGGACCAGAATGTGTAAAGGCTGAGAAGGTACAAAGACCCAGAGGGGTATCCTGTGCAGCAAACAGCAGAGAGCTCCATGCAGGTGAAGTGAAAAGGGCGCTGCTGGGGCTAAGTGCGGGGAAGGCAGGTTGGCAGCATATTGTCGGGGCCTTGGATCATTTGCTCACAAAGGTGTTAACCTTTTCCAGATTGGAAATGGAGAGCTTCCAAGGGCACTTACGGTGGGGAAACAGCAAAATCACATCACGATTTGGATGCTTTAGTGACGGGAGGGACTGGAAGACAGTAAAAGCCAGGAAGAGGATAGTAATACAGCAAGATATGCCGGGGACTGTACTATGGCAGTGCTGTGAAGATGAGGAAGAGGCAGAAAGGATGCAGGAGAATTTCTCAGATGAACATTGGGGATCCGATATGAGTATCAAATATTTGGTATGAAAAAAGAAAATAAAGATGAGGCCAACTTCTTTGGATTGAGTGGTTACCAGTACAGATTGTTGACTCAGGGAAGAGAATACAGAGTATGTTTTAGAGGAGAGGGAGAAAAGATTTCAGTGTGAGACATGTTAAGTGTGGAGCATCCATGAATTTCAACAGTACACATATCTTTTTGGGGGGGCGGTGCCTTGCCAGGCAGCGTGGGATCTTAGTTCCCCAACCAGGGCTCAAACCTGTGCCCCTCCTGCAGTGGAGGACCGCCAGGGAAGTCCCAGTAGACACATTCTTATGGAATGTTTACCAAGCATCGGATCTGTGCTAGTTACTGGGAAAGAGTGGAAAACAAGTCAGGCACGCCTCTGTGGAATTTACAGCCTAATGGGGGAGAGGTACTTTAAACAAATAATCGCACAAATAACTACATAACTGCAATGGGAAGCAAGTGTTAGAAAGAAAACCTGCAGGGTGTGACAGGCAGACAGAAGGCGGCCGGAGGGACTGAGTGACAGACATCAAGGTCCACTCTAAGGGAGGGTCTGCAGAGAGCCAGGGAGGGGAGCCGATGGCGAGGGAGGCAATGCCTTCAGAGGTGACACCATGTGCACAGAGGTTGAGTGAAAAGGGGTTGGAGGCATCAAACAGAGGTCTGCATGGCTCAGACCTACGGAGTAGTGTCAGGGGAGAGCGCTGCAGGGTCACATTCAAGATTTTAAACTTTCCTGCAAGAGCAATGGGAACCATTGAAGGGTTTGAAACAGGGGACTGATACAACGATTTGCTTTTAGAAAGGTCAGTCTGGCCATGTGAAGGGCTGGAAAGTGTGAGGAGGGTACTTCAACAGACTTATGAGATCCAGGGCAGCCTCGATCGAGTGATAGCTCGAGTAACAAACACACTTCTGCAGGGGCGATTCACAGCAGCAAGACTTTAGAACCCTAGGTCAGGTGGGAGGGAAACAGGGAGAGGGTGTCTCCCAGGCTCTTAGCACACACAGCTAGATGCAAGGGACTGCCACTAACATTCCAGAGGAAGCCTGGGTGGTTACTTCTATGTGTATCACCTATGAGATGCCCTTGAGATGTCCAAGCAGGTAGATTAAATAAGCAGTTAATTTACAAATCTGGAGTTCAAAAGAGCAGTGTGGGCTAGAAATATGAGCCTGGAAGTTACTGGCATATAAATGTCATTGAAAGCTACATGGGTGGATGACATTACCTATGGATTGTGTATGTATCTACTCCTCTTAAGAGAAGAAGGCTGGAAAGGAACCAACAGAAAGAACTCAGAGGAGAGTTCAGAGTGGGGGGCAGGAAGGTGAAAAGAAACACTTCACCAGGGAAGAAAAATGATGTGTCTGCTGCTCCTAGGCACCTGTGGGCACTGGTGAACTTAGGGTAATTCTGGTAGGCGCTGGGGAAGCAGGGAACTGTGACTGAGAATACTCTTTCCCAACCACATGAAAACAGAATTTAAACAGAGGAAGCCTTTCCATGAATCTGTCACCATGACTCCATCAGGGCTTTCTACCTCCCTGCTGCTCCCCAAATGCCCTCACAGAAGCAGGGCCACAGAGGTCCTGGCTGCAAACCTGCGACCCGCCTGCTCTGAGCCCATACCCTGCTGAGCGCCCCTCTGGGGAAAAGCCAGCCTCACCTGTGAAAGGATTTAATGGACTCTTAAATGGTTACCTTTTTTCTTGGAGCAGGTGGAGGGGAAATCCTTGTCTTCCACTTTTACTGAAGGCCTGTTACACTTCATCCTACAGAAGAAAGAACGCCGTGCTCCAGAACATAATCGAGATGGCCCAGGGGTTATATCTGTTTTAACTGGAAGTCCAGCTGCAAATCAATACACAAAACGTGATAAACCAAGGGTCGTGTTGTCTGTCAGGCAGGGGAGCGTGCCCTGGAAGAAAGCCTTTTCTTTCCTGCCTCTGTTCTGTAACGGGGATCTGACAGTGACACTCCTCCTCACAGGCTGCACAGAAGCTCTACGGATGGGGCGCTGTCAGCCCGCAATGCTGCTAGACCACGGAGAATGCAGCTGCTGATGAACGGACTCGGTGCTCCGGGAAATAAAGAAACAGACACGGGACCCTCTTCTCAGCGGGAGCTGAGCAGGGGAAATGGCACTTCACCAGGAGGACGGTGCTGATGCCACACGTGGTGTATGACTGAAAAGGGCCAAATAAAGGGCAGAAACAATCGGTGTTTCCCAGAGGAGGCAGAGGTGGGCTGGGAATTGGACACTGGAATGGAAAAGAGGCAGCAGGGCTGACTCAAGTTCTCAAGCCTGGCTGGATGCCAGAACCCCCAGACGCTGTATCAACCTGGAGATGCTTGAGCCGCATTCTAGATCGGTGCTACCCAGTGTGGGAGCCACTAGCTACATGCAGCTACTGGGATCTTCAAATTGGAGGCATGTTCTACATGTGAATATACCCAAGATTTCAAAGGCTTAGTGCAAAAAAAAAAAAAAAAATCGGAAAGACTTCCTTTTGGATTTAGTGTTAAATAAAAGATAGTATTAAAATTAGTTTTGCATTTATTTTTACTTTTTAAAATGTAGCTATCAGGAAATTTAAAATCATATATGTGGCTCATATTTGTGGTTTGAATTCTAGTTTTGGACCCACTGAATTAGAATCTCTGGAGAAAAAGCCTGACTGTTATCCTGACAGAAACATGGGCTACTTGTTAGCACAGAAGCTGGGGATCTGAACCTGCCCCCCTCCTCCACCCTGCAGCCCTTCACTGTGTCCTCACAGATGAGACGGTCTGTGTGGTCCAGCCCTCCCCCTCCGCTGCATGTTTTTCTCCAGCAGCACCAGCAAACCCCAGCACCACCCTTTTGCCCCCATCCACCAATCATTTCCTCTGCTACTTTCCTCCCTTCATCACCTGGCAAATATTAATTCATCTTTTCAAACCCACCTGGAGCTGTCACCTACTCCATGATGCGTGTGCCCACACCCACATGAGGATGAATCATTGTTCTCTGTGGCTGGTACTACATATATGGCTGCACCTATTATACACGGTGCCGTCTCCTCGTCGCCCTGACTACATGGGTAACAGCCTTAGAGGCAAGGACCAAACAGCATTCACCTCTTCCTCCTGCGGTCACTAAGACAACTGCAGGACCAGACTATAAAGGGCAACAACAGGTGGCAGGCACTACATTGTACTTATAGGAAGACGAGGAGTGCCTTAGTGAAAAGGATGACTTAAAGGAGATTCCTCTGGTGGTTATTTCCTTCCAGAGACTATAACGGAGAGCTTGGGAGCAGGAAACTAGTTAGGCTATGACGGCACTGGGCCAAGGTAAATACAACGTTGTGCTCACTACGTGCTGGAAACAATGTGCTCTATGTTTTTAGCATATTAAATCCTCACAACAACCTGATGAAATCAGTAATACTGTGCAGGTAAGGAAGCTGAGGCACAGAGAGGTTAAGTAACTTGCTCAAGGTCATGCAGCTAGTGAATGGTGGAGCCAAGATTTGAGCCCTGCCTCTGACTCTGGAGTCCATGCTCTTAACTGCTGGAGTGCAGAGCTCCCCGTGGGACTGAAGGGGGAGAGAGCTTCTGGCAGTCACAGGGGCGGGTGCAGGAAGCCGGGGAAGGACGTGAGTGGTGCTCCACTGCTGCCACGAGGAAGCAGGGAGGCAGGTTGGGGTGGCAGGGGAGGAACCTCAAGAGAAACCACTTTGGTCAGAGAGATGTCATATTTAGACTTTTTCATCTTATGAGGCTGCATGAGTACAACTCAGACACACAGAAGTGATTTTTTCGGGGGAACAAATCAAACTGATGTGAACCCTTTTAACAACTGGGGATTTTTAGATCCTAAAAAAAAAAAAATTTGACTAAAAATCAGAAAGAATCAAATTAAAATGGCTGTTTTTCCCCTCACGAATTAGGACGTTGAATTTTTTCCTTCTTTATGTAAACCAGAAGAGAAACAAACATGAAGCAGTACAATAATTCCATTTAGCCAAAGAGCTCCTGTGAGCCAGTGAAGGGCAGAGCGGTAGGAGCCCAGCCGCTGAGGCCTGCAGAGCACAGGCCGTGCGGCCTGGCGCCCGGCGGCCCCCAGACTCACTTTTTGCGTCTATGAGCCGCTCCCGGGGCGCGGTGTCGGAAGAGGAGAGCTGTTCCTTGACTTTGGCGATATCTTTAGGGTGCAGGTAGTCAAACAGACTCTGACCAATCAGATCATTCTGTGGGGACGCATCACCAAGAAGGACAAGTCAACGGCACGCGGAGTATAAATTAACTAACAAGGGCTTTGCCTGTACTCTGCACGTTTAAGCATGAGAATCTTAAGGATTTCACGTGTTGACATGGACACACATCCAGGCACTTTGCCTAGATAAGGACACCATGAATGAGGCACTGAGAGTGTGGTGCTGAGAAGACAAGAAGGAACAAGGGCTCACCCACATAAACAGCTCACGCTCCTCTAAGGCAAAAGTCTTTCACAGCATGTATCCCTTTATCATTTACTTCTGATGCCCACAGATTCCCTTCTAAGACCTCAGCAGGAGGAATGTAGGGTGTGGGCTCTGACTCCAGCTCCATTAGACCTCTGTTCTTAAACAAGTTGTGTCATACTATATGCCTCACTAGCCTAATTGTTAGCAGAGATATAAATAACTTCCTCCACAGCTTTGCTCTAAGACTGAAAAGAGCAAAACACTTTGGAAACATGAAATTTACATTAATTTATATAAATGTTATTTTGATACTGCAATTCTTCTGCTTTACCAAATTTCTCTGCAAATACCAGTATGAGCGTGAGTGAATGAATGAAAAAAATGAGTAAAAACTCTAGGGACAAAACAGGTGATAAGCTCTGTTCTAGAAGCTTTTATATAAACAGTTATATGATTTTACAAACAGTCATAGAATGTATGGATTGATACAATCATTTTACAGAGGGTGCTGAGGTTCAATAGAGCTAATAAGTGATACATCATTGTAGACACAGTATGGGTGGATTCCCACTTTTCTTATTCCCTGGCACTGTCCTGTCTGCCTGTCTTCCCTGGCAAATAGCCCCTTGCCCCACTGCCCCTACACTTGCAGCAGTGAGAAAGTTACAAGGCTGATAAGGTCAAACTTCCCAATGAAAGCATATTAAAGGAAGTTTTCTAAGTTTATATTCATTTCTATGTTAAGAATTTTCTGGAAGAAGGATGGGGTTGGGGAACAACAGAATCATTCCACACGTCACTTGTCTATTAATTATTCTGAGAAGTGGGGTAACCTTTTTGGCCGCTGTAAGGCTGCCCACCACCAACGGGAACAGGGGCAGTACCTGGCTGTAGTTGAGGATCTTGAAGACAGACTCTGACACAAAGAGGATCTTCCCTCGGTCACATCCTACGACAAACAAAAATCCATCTGCTGCCTAATCAGGAGAAATGGATAATCAATTTATCACACTTTAGGAAACATGATTTATAATCACTCTGATAGCAAATAAGGATTTATTTTCTAAGTGTGCAAAGCACGGGACTGCAGTCACTGACAGTTTCATAGGTGTCCTGAGAACATGATGCTTAGAACAAATACCTTCTGAGAATGATTAGATTCTCTCCAAGGCAGACATATACACATGTATCACTAATGATTACTGGGGCAAGTCCAATTACAGAGAGTTTTGTTTGGAAGGAGAACTCAGTTTAAGAATTTTCATTTGACTGCATGAAGGTCCAAAGGAATCCATTTCATTGCTCTAAGTATAACAACAATATAATATCATAGAATCTGAGACTGGAAGGAAACTTTAGGGTCAAAATTCCCTCTCAAATATTGAAGCCACCATCTGTCCAAGACCTGAACACCTCCATTTCCAGGGAGCTCTCTAGAACAGTGGGTTCAGCATCTGAAGTGTGGTCTGCTTTTGTTTTTTTATGCTGATGGTCTGGAGTGGGGTGGATCACTGGTATGATTTTTACCTCCCCCACTTACCCTCACCCCAAAGCGGTTCTAATGTTCACAGGGTTGAGAACAACTACTCTCAAGTTTTATTCCTTGATGCAGAGATGAGCTGTTTGTATCCTAAGTGCAACAAGAAAAGCCAAGCAAAAATTTCCTCTGATATTCTTTCATCTCTTCTTCACTTTAAATACAGGCAAAAATCCAAAGTGTCGACAAAGACAGGTGTGGAGACAGGACAGTATTTGTCAGACAGACTAAGGCAGATAAATACTGAAGATGTGGAACATGAGAGCTTAGGATGTTTTGTGCAAATGTGACTGAACACTACCCAGGACTCCCCAGATGGGCAACCCCTAAGAACCCCTGCTGGGGCCTGAGCGCCGGAGGGTGCTCCCTGCCCTGCCACGCACTGGCTCTATGCTCAGGTTGTCTTTGTTCAGTCACCCGGTCACGTCCGACTCTCTGCGACCCCATAACAGCAGCGTGCCAGGCTTCCCTGTCCTCCACTATGTCCCGGAGTTTGCTCAAACTCATGTTCATTGAGTATACTCAGCTACCACAGACTGAATCACATACGTCATTATCTTCGTTATTCGCTGGTCCTCAGTCTGTTTTTGGAATAGACTACTAAAGAACCTGGGGCTTTCCCAATGGCTCAGATAAGCCTGCTAATGCAGGAGACTCAAAGAGACATGGGTTCGATTCCTGGGTTGGGAAGATCCCCTGGAGAAGGAAATGACAACCCACTCCAGTATTCATGCCTGGGAAATCCCATGGACAGAGGAGCCTGGCGGGCTACAGTCCATGGGGTTGCAAGAGTCGGATGCGACTGAGCGCACATACACACACTAATAAAGAACCTACTCCCTTTTCCACAAAAGGGCCTTTGGGATGCAGTTAAACTCAAAGAACTAAGGAAATGAATTCATGCACCAGAAGGTAACAGAATGGTATGCTCACTTGTGCTGGGATAACAGACCTGAGTGAGAGGGGGACAGACTCACTACTGCTGTGAGAGGGCCTGGCCGGCCACCTGCCAGAAGGAAGCTGGGCTGATCCTTTCCTAAGTTAGGCCTCTGCGCTGGCCTGGGGGCAAAGGATGACAGTGAGGGGGAAGCCACTTCCCAAGCACCATCTGCTAGAAGCCTCATTCTGTCAAGAAAAAGAGGGTATTAATAACTTCCTCATTTGCCTTGCAGACAACCTTTTATCTTAACTAGAGAAGAGAGTATTTTGAGGCTTTTCATTAATGAAGTGATGTGGCTCAAAAGGTGCTTGGGAAGACGGTTCCTGTGACATCCTGGAAGAGATGCTGAGCAGATTCAGGCCCAAGCTGATGACAAGGGGAGTAGATTTCAACACATTCAGGGGAGGGAGAGAAGGTTCCAGAGGTCAGTGTAGGGGAGGCACAAAACATTCCGACTCCGCTTCGCTCGGGCAGATGAACACCAGCAGGTGAAGGAGCCAGGCTGAGGGGCCAGCCAGAGAGCAGAGAGGTGTGAACACGAGCCCCACGGGGACGGGAAGACCAAGGCAGACTCGCCCTCAGGGAAAACGGTGTTGAGTTAATGAGTGACACGGAGCCCGAGGGGCCGCCTCACTTTCAAAACTCAGCACGTACAGGTTCCAGACGTTATAAACCGATCAGGTTCACTGCTCCTTGACATGCCGGCATTCAAGATATTTTTGAAAGCACTTGGTAAGGAAAGCAATTAGTCAGATTTGCACTGGTAAGGGTGACTGAAAGTCCAGTTCCTGCTGCCAAACTGTTCAGACATCATCTGAGTGGACCCTGCTGTCTGCTGAAGCAAATTCCCAGGGACTCAGCATTCAGAAGTGGCAAGGAATTAGACAGTGGTTCCCAGCCACTGAGATGGGGCAGAGAGATGAGAAAAGTTCCATGAGAGAAGACAGATCACCACTGACGTGTGAGAGAGAGGAGCAGAAAAGGCAAGCCCAAGATGAAGTCTTTCACTCAAACAGCATTAAAACCCTTATTCCAGACCCTGCTAAGTATGAACATCTAACAGAGAATCATTTAGAAAAGTAGCAACAATTACTAAACACTTGTCACTATGAAAGGAACTTATTTTATATGTGTACATACATATACGTATTTCTTTAAAAAACACCAAATCACCAGTATGGTGATCAGGACCAGTTACATAATTAGTAGGGTCCAGGACAGAATGAAAATGCAGGGACCTTTGTTTTCAAAATACAGTCTTCAAGATGGCAAGAGCAGAGCATTAAACCAAGTACCGGGTCCTACAGAGCTGCAAGGGTTGCATGCCTGTGAAGCCAGCCCTGATGGTTTCTCTGGAGATGCTGCAGATATCGTTCATATCGTAATTCTAGCATGTCCTCCCTGAGAACAAGGACATTTTTATGAAAAGGATGGAAAGGTGAGGGCAGAGTTGAGTCCTCCGGGTCTGCCCTGAGAGGTAACCAAATGACCATCATTAACTTGCTGAGAAGCCTCGCCGCCACCCTGAAGTGTCTATCAGTGACTGGACGTCTGTAGGACAGTGCCATGCAAAACCCACTAAGTACTAAAATGTTTGCTGAATTAGTGAACAAATGAAAATGGAAGACAGAGGCTATGCCTATCCAATCTACAAGTCACACAAAGCTTTGAAGGATCGCTAGTGATAAGCTGGAATGTGGGACTATCCAACAGATTGACAGAGAAGTTCAAAAAGACCAACTGCACCTACACAAGATGTAAAAACCCTTGCCTAACAATAACTCATGTACAAGAGAGCCGGGGAGGGTGCTGTGACAGCTGTCCCAGATGTGGCACTAATGAGATGGCTTCTCCTGCAAGGAGGCACCAGCCCCACTCGACCCCAGGCCAACCAGACCACAGCTGCAGCTCCACACTGGTCAGAACTTTAAATCAGCCACCACTGGAGGGAAATCCAGCAGACGGATGTGGCTCTGGAAAGAACATGTGCCATCTGCTGTTCCTGACCCTTCTTCTCCTGCCTGCTTCTCCTCTGGAGGCTGGAAGATCTAGATACCCGTGCGGCAACCTGCTTTGCACCTCTGGGGGACCAGGTGACATTTTCAAGATAAGCTGATGTCTACTCCTGTGCTTCCAGGAAGGCATGCCCTTTCCTGATACAAAGCATGGCTGGCCTGGAGTCTCCCCTGCCCTCTTTCTGGCTGGTGAGCTACTGAAACCTGGCACAGCCATCTCCCTCCAAGGTGAAAATCTGGCTCAGCAGGGTGGTGCGAGAAGACAGAAAGGGCCTGGTTCCTGCTGACCTCCCTGAGCCTCCAGAGCAGCCCCTCACTGCCTAACCAGGACTGCCTATGCTTGAGAAACAAAGCCCTGTTGACTCATAATGTCCTGTTCCTTGCATTTAATACAGCATGTCACAAGGGGACGGACAGACACTACTGGAATGAGCAGGCAGGCCAGGCTAACAGGGGGCCTGAAGCCAGGGTGAGCTGAAAATGGGTAGTGAGGATGCAGAAAACCAGAGGGACCACCCTCTATGCTGGGGCCTTGCAAACTTGCTCTGAGACGCGAGGGCAGCCCTGGCTGGGGGGAGATGGCATAGGTATTCTTCCCTTAAGTTAGGTTTCTTTGGTTTTCTTTCTACTGTTCCCAAGAGGACATGTCTCTGAATTTAGTGCCTCTCTCTTCAGTTTCCAAGCAAAATCTTGCTCGGCCCAGAGCAGACCTGATTCTCACAGAAGCCAGGTTCCTGCAGAGACCAGCTGGTGAAGCGAGCACTACGGTCAGGCAGGTGGAAGCACCTGCCTCCTCCACTCATCTTCCTCCCCAGATCTGCAACATCTTTGGAAGCTTTGTTGTTTTGATGGAATTTTAGTAGAAAGGTTTAGGTGGCTGTTTCTGTGTTAGTGGTCAAGTGAGCATGAGAGAAATTCTCAATGGTTACCAGTTTCAGTCCCTTTCTAATACCTTCATATGCAGGATGGGGATTCTTGATTACCTCCTATTTTTAACAAAATCCTGCTCTTCTGATTTAAAGTCCCAGTAGCCTAGGCCTTCCATTTTTGTTTGAGTGAGGGTAGAAGAGGAGGGTCCCAGGGAAGAGATGTGAGGCCTGTCCAAACAGTAAGAACAAGGGGGAGACCCTGCCAGAGGAAGTGAGCCTAAACAAGTTCAGTGTTGAGACATCAAATTCCCACACTGGCACTGAGATTTGTGAAAATAAATGTTGTGTAAAAACAATCCCATAATTGCAACATACCCTGAGAATAAGGTGTTTCAATTCATCATCTGACAGAAAAGTCGGCTTGTAGTTTGCTTCTGTGTATGGATTGGTGGCACCTTCCAGGGGAGAAAAAGAGAAAGAGTTGGAACACTTTATTTTCAGATAATGTCTTGTTCCGCTTGACTGTCTCAAGTCTTCCAGATGCAGCCTCGTCCCTAGCCCCTAGGAGCTACATTTTATTTTCTTTCTCCATCGTGGAGATAAGGCGAGCTCTGGCTTTGAACAGAAGCCTCTAACGCCAAAGAGAATGTCATTGAAAAGTGAACACTGTTGACCACAGGAGACTTAACAAGCTTGCTTTTGTCACCACAGTGAAAATTCAGGAGCTAACAGAAGTTTAGAAACTGCTTCAAATACAGAAGGAAGCTCTGGAAGCAAACTGGTCGAGACTCCTGGGACACTCCCTCCCTCCAACATCTATATTAAATGGGTTGTCTAGCGGGTGCTCAAATCACCACTCTAAATGTTCTTGGGAAGTCATCCAGTCTGCCAGACCCTGAGTAAATACGCTGTGGAAGGCGTTTGCTGTGAGTTCCTCTTCATCAGGGTTGAGTTAAATGAGTTTGGCAACCCAGAGAAATGCATTACTTCAGTAAATGCAACTTGAGCTCCCAGGACTGAAAGGGCATGAGACTTATGTTTAAAAGGCTGTCAATCTGGCATCTTTCGGAAGAATAACTTAGAGAAGAATGCCAGCAGTAAATGACTTGGAATCTGCAGAATGGTTAGTAGCACAGTGAACTAAAACAGCTCATGACAATTCCAAAGATCACCAGGAAGGAGGGAAATAGAACCTTTCGGTGACTTTCAAATCAACTAACAAGGTGCATATCACTGATCCACACCCCTGCTTTTTAGGACCACTTGAGTTCTGCAACTCTTTTCTTTCCAATGTAACAGAAATTAGTTGTAATGATTTAATCTCTATCTTCTCTAACATGAATTTTAAAACACCATTCTCCAAGCCCAGTATACAACATTTATATTTTTGAATCAAGGTCAAAAGACAAAACCAGCTACTTCTTATTTCTGGTGGCTTTGTAGAAATATAAAAGACGTAATTCTTTTACCACGCAGGTCAGAGATCTGAGTGAGCGCCTACTTTCCGATTTCCTCAAATAGTCCAAGTCTAGCTGTGGAAAATTCCAGGGACGGCCTTCCCTAAAATGCCTGCCACAGTTCAGATTTCTCCTGTGGTTTGGATAAGTCACTTCCACATTTCTGCCTCTGTTTTCTCACCCTCCCCACACTCAGAAAAGAAGGAAAACACTGCCTCCCTTATAAAGAGTTGATCTGGTTTGGGAAAATTCCAGGAAGATGAAAATATCATCAGTGTTCACTCAACAATAAAATGTAGCAAGTGCTGTCAACCAGTGACTCACTCTTCAAAAGAAACCAGGATGAATTTTTCCTCTTAAAAACTGAAACAGACTTTCCTGTGTCATGAAGGGCAGCTACATTTCTGATGTTTATCATTGTATGGGCAAGGTCCAGGCACCACATACATGCAAGATGGGACGTGTGCCTCTCTGATATGTATGTAGCCTGGGTATGTGCACACACACATGCATGGCACACAGCCTCTACCCTCTGGGGATGTAGGACAGCAACACTGCATCTTGATACCCACAGAAGCTTGGTAATGCCGATTTCATTTGGCATAATGTCTGCTGCTGAAAATGACTGGTATACTCCTCAAGGCTACACATTTGCAAGTAATAAACATTGGCCTTAGGGACTCAGGGACATTCTAAGTAAGGGTGGTAACATTTGTGAGCAAGGGCATAAAAGACAATAAAGCTGGGATCTCACCTCGTAATGTTTTCATGTGCTGAACAGCCATCCTCAGCACAGTAAGTTTATCTAATTTCCTAGACATTGCGTTGCACGTTGGTACCAAAGAAGCCAGTTCATCAATAAAACTGTTCATTTTATCCCGACGCCTCTTTTCAATCTGACTGTGAGCTTCCCTGAACAACAATATGAAAAATGATTTCTGTAAAATGTAACAGAGCATCAAGGAAACAATGATGAAAATAACTGTTTTCAATATCATCTGACAAGGCAAATTTAGAATCTGAAGAATGTTTCAAACTGGGCTTTTCTACTAAAGTCACCAAAAAAAGTGCGGCTCACTGCCAAGTCGGTATTAGTGTTTTTCTTTTTTAATGCTTACCTTATCCTTAGAATTGAGAAATACTACAAAAACTGTCTTTTCACAGTCAACTGAGCTTTTAATTTCTCCTCATTTCTATTCTTCTCAGCCCCAATAAAGTTGGATTTTAAGATGTGGGAGAAAGAAAGAAGGGGGGTGGAGGACTTGAAGGGCAAAGCACCCAGGAACAGACATCAGTGAGGCCCCAGACTGAGCTGTCTCTGAGGTCTGAGGGGAGTCTGCCATGTGGTCTGTGGGAGACAGACTGAGACACCAGGTAACTAATGCTGCTGTCCTTGGATCAGCCATGACCCCACCAAGACGCAGCAGATGCTACATCTGTCCCTAAGAGTTGCTGCCCGCCGAGCAGCATGACACTTCTCGTGGCACACACTCTTTTCCTGACTGGTTTGCACCTGCTATTTGTGACTGTCTCCCAAAGAGGTATGTCAACAGTGCCACAGCCACAGCAACAGAACCGTGTGATCTCTCGCCAAAGCTGGTCCATGAGGGAAAAGCCAGTAGTTTCAGGTCCTTTGAATTCTACAGCCCTAGTTCTGTGTCAGGACACAGCATCAGATGGTCCTGGGGTTAAATGGCAGGAGAGCGGAGGACCCACATGGAGGGGAATCAGCAAATGTGGCTGGAGGCAGGAAGGAGGGAGTCAGAGAATCTACTTGAAGGAGCAGGGCCTCCCCAGGTCTGGCCTTCAGCCACACCTTGCAGAGCAGTAAGGGCCCTTTCAGAGGCCAGGCAAAGCCGGGGAACTGACTCCTCGAGCCAGGTCTCCCCAGAGGGCCCCAAGGCAGGAAGGAGGAACCTGCTGAAGACAGGGAAAACCTTTAGCCTTGATTTATCTTTGGCTCCCTCCAGAGTTCCCTTCAGATTAAACATGCTTAGACAGCAAAGAGTGAAGGCAGCTCAGCCTGGAGGCAGTGAGAGACAGAGCCACATCAAGCCAGGGCCCTGTCCCCCTCCTCACTCCCTAAGGACATGACAGTATCAAAGACTGTTCGACAGACAGGGAACAGATATTCAGAGCCTCCTTGACTGCACACTAAGCAACCAAACCAGGACGGCTTAAAGACAGAAAGAAGGTCCAAGCTCACCTTGCATTTTTGATTCTTCCTTGGTGCTCTGTGTATTCTAACCTGGAAAAGAAATAAAAAGAAACACATAATCCCCTGGAGATTAACAGTGGAGTTACACATCCATTTTCTTCCCTGCCTGATCCTGGTCCTCTTTACATGACACACAAGGGCTTTGCTTGTTAGCTACACAGGGCGGGGCGTGTATGTGTGTGTGTGTGTGTGTGTTAGTTGCTCAGTCATGTCTGACTTTTTGCGACCCCATGAACTAGAGCCCGCCAGGTTTCTCTGTCCATGAAATTCTCCAGGCAAGAATACTTGAGTGGATTGCCATTCCCTTCTCCAAAGGATCTTTCTGACCCAGGGATCAAACCCTGGTCTCCCGCATCACAGGCAGATTCTCTATGGTTTGGGCTACAGGGTGGGGCATGGGGGGAGACAGTTCTGAACCTACAGGCTCACAGCCTCCTTGCTTATCCCTAATCAAGGAGATGGGTAGAAACTGCACGTTTAATTATGCAAGGAAAATGGCTCTAAGGATGCTGAAGTTTAAATTACTTAATTCATGGTACCTTCCGTGAGGGTCATCTTTGTCTGTGTCCATGCTTTCTCTGAGAAAACAAAAGAGAATATAACTGTTAAGACACACAAAATTGCTTCTTACCATAATACAGAAGGCCAAAATTTATCCAGAAACCAAGCAATTAGAAAGCTCAAAGAGCCACAATATTGACTCCTAATGTATAAAAGTAAAACCAACTCGAACCTACTATAAAACCAGAATCATTTTCCAATTTATCAAGTTATATATACCACTTCAATAAAGTTTGTGTGCTCATGCATTTTACTGTATTGATTGCTTGAGAAAAGTGGGAATACACGGCATTCATGGAAACTCTTAGTTAACCAGAGTATCCAAGTAACCATACAATCTCATCCCCCCCACCGCACCCAACCCCCATCTTTCTGGATAAATGGAGTTTATTCATTTGTAAAATATATCAAGCATCAAACACACGTGGGTATACATGCTTCTGCTGCTGCTAAGTCGCTTCAGTCGTGTCCAACTCTGTGCAACCTCATGGACGGCAGCCCATCAGGCTCTGCCGTCCCTGGGATTCTCCAGGCAAGAACACTGGAGTGGGTTGCCATTGCCTTCTCCAATGCATGAAAGTGAAGAGTGAAAGTGAGGTCGCTCAGTCATGTCCGACTCTTCGTGACCCCATGGACTGCAGCCTACCAGGCTCCTCCTTCCATGGGATTTTCCAGGCAAGAGTACTGGAGTGGGGTGTCACCGCCCTCTCCACGTGGGCATATATACTGAATATCTATCTGGTGGTGCGTAAGGTGAGGAGGGAGCATCAAAGTGCCCGTGAAGGACACTGAGTAGAAACCCAAGCCAGCTCCCAGAGGGACCACTGCTACCCAGTGCTCTGATTCTCAGCTCGGGGGAAACCCTGAGCCCCGAGGAACTGGGACAGATGGAGGCATGGGTTGGGGACCACAGAGAGTCCTGGGGTCACAGAAGGATCTGCCCTCCCCTCATGGACTCCTGAATCCAGTTTTCACAGCACGTTGTGGGTTCAGTAGAAAACAGACTGAAATCCTCTAAGGAAGGGGTTCTAAATCCCCCAGATGAGCTCACACCTTCCTCTAATCCCTAAATCACTCAGGAGGACACCGACTACCCTCTGGGCCTCTCTCCCTTCTCCAATCATGGCCCTACAAACATCATCATCTCAAGAGCAAAAGCAACTTTCTCAGGAGCACTGAGGTACACTGCGGGTACTCAGAACAGTGGTTCCCAACCAGGAGCCCTCCATCTCCTAACAGGCAGAGACTTTCTCTACCTGGTCCTGAAGTTTAGAAGAAATTCTACAGGCCACAGGGGAAAATGAAAAGTCCCTCTCCCTTCTATCTAGACTCGTGTCTGCTCACTGAGGCAGGTGATCATCTCAGGTGAAGAGAAGCCCTGCCCTAAGGTAGGAGTTTGGTACATCAAGCTGCTAAGAAAGGGATGACAGATGCTTAATTCATAGGGTGTCCATGAATTACAGAAGACTTGCAGACTGGGGTCCATGCAGGAAACCTGGAAGTCCGGAGTGGTGACAAGGTTGGAAAACAAATATCTAGACAGCAGAGGTCTCAGAACATGTCAAGGGCTCCATCAGACAAAAACTCCACAGAAAACATCTGGTTTCCCTGTTGTGGAGTTAGTGCCATGGAAGAACACCCTCTTGGTCCTCACATCCACTCTCCATCCCCTGGGCGGCCGCTCTCTTAATCATCTGGGCTCACTTACTCATAGCATCTCCTAGTGGGCATCTGACCTCCAGCCACCATGCTCCCCAAATCTGACCTGTGAACTTCAGCAGAAAGGATATCTGCTGTAAGGGGGCACACCTCCTTGGAGATTTTCTCTCATTAAACAGAAGAAAACTCTCAAATGGACATTTGGGCAAGATTCCTCGCAGTTGCCTCTACAAAACAAAACGTGCCTTTTGGATGTTCTATGCTGACATATTCCCTAGATATCTGTATAGATACAGAAGAGTTGACGGTAAGTGTGAAAATTTACTTACTCCAAAGAAAAGCCACCAAGTCTTAAAAAAAAAAAAAAGGTGCTATTTAATGTAAGAGGAACACTAATTCAAATAACATTTCAAGGACAATGTCACTGCTCCTATATTGCTTCCAGAGATGACCTCTACTTTCTCACTCTACAAACACTAAGTAAGCCATCGATGTCCTCCTCTAGAGAGGGCCTTAAGCAAAGCTTAAGGAACCACTGAGGTTATACCCATGGACTTGGCCATCTTGCTCAAAGGAGCAAAGGAAAATGAAGACAGTGGTAAGAGGTGAAACTTGGCCTTAAGGCTATTCTTTTTCCCTCGAAAATCTTGGGACCTGAGTGGGGAGCACAAAAGGAGAGTAAATGGCTCAGCTGCCTCCTGCTTGCAATCCAAGGGAAGATAAGGGGAAAAGTCAAGTCAGATCTTTCATTCCCGTCCCTTTTCATAGACAGGATCCCTTCTTCCAGAAGGAACAGTAGGGCCCCTGGATGTTCATGCCCGTTAAGCTGACATCAAGTTTAGTCAGAGGAAGACAAGCCCAAAGGCCTTACTGGTAGTCTGTGGAGCTGCCCTTGCGTTTCCGGTTGCAATCCACGCCACCGGTGCCCAGAGGGCTGGAGAGGAGGTCGGTGGCACCTGGGGACATGAAGTCACTGATTGTTGAAGAAATGTCCATTCTCTGGTCGGCCATTGGAGGTCTGAAATAGGTACAAGGAGACAGAGGCGCATTTATTTCCACAAGCTTTTCTAAGGTGGTGGAGGACTAGGGTGGCACTGTGGAATGACAGGCACTTCACAAGAGCACTGACATCTCTCTCACTCAGCCAGCTGGGACGAGGACAAGGCACTGCCAGAAGAAGCATCATATTTATTCCAGGAGTTGTTATAGGTAATTTAGGCTCATCTGCTTGTTCTTTCTGACAATGACACAAAGCTCAGAGAAATTATGTGGCTTCTCTTAGGGCCCTGTGCCAGGGCATGAAGAACTAAAGCAGAACCCAAGGCTCTAGCAGGTACAGCCCCATGTTCCACCCATGGAGGTGACCAAGTGTCCCAGATGTTCTCACAGTCTTAATTTTCTTTTGATCAAATCTAATCAATGAAATAAATATGATCTACTTGTTATCTCTGTATTTTTATTACAGCTTTTATCAAAGTTGTAGGAAAGCATACAATATCCTTTCTCAGCCTATAAGTCCCACTTGGGAGTCAAAAAAGCAGTCCCTCCCGATCACTGATCCAGGCAAAGTCTATCTATTCTCTGCCTGCCCTTTTGCATGTGGGATTCCATTTCAAGGAAAACCTTGCATAATGAAGTGAAGGCACTGCAAACATTTGCAAAGCATTTTGAGAATTCGTATCTTAAAAGCACAAAGCAAGTCAGCTCAAAAGAGAGACTGGCAAGTACCTTGCAAGGGACTCCAACTCCAAACCCAGGTGAAGGGGGCCGTGCACTGCCCACCGTTGGGGTCTGAGCTCCAGGTGACGTGACTGGGGCTGTCACTCCCTCTCTCTGGGCCTGAGTTTCCTCATCTGCAAAGTGAAAGGTGAGGATGAGCTTTTGTTTCCACTGTGTCCACTGATTGGTGACCAGAGCCCTCCTGGTCACTCTCACCATCGTTGCTGGAGTGAACACTGACTGTGCACATAGCTCTGTGCATTTGAGCTATTATCTCTTAGTGTAAACTTCTAGAAGGAGGACTGATGGGTCTAAAGGAGACACACATTGTATGTTTTGCTAAATACAGAAACACTGTGCTCCAGAAAAGCACAATGACTTTTATCCCCAGTAAAAGCTCTTGTCAATCTGAAGGAAAAAACAAAACCTCACTATTTTTACTTGTATCTTAAAATTATTATGGATGGTGTTTCTGTTTATAGGCATGTCTTTCTTTCTTTGATGTGGACCAATTGTTTTTAAAGTCTGTTGAATTTGTTACAATACTGCTTCTGCTGTTTATGTTCTGGTGTTTCGGCCACGGGGTATGTGGGATCTTAGCCCCCCAACCAGGGATTGAACCTGCATCCTCTGCATCAGAAAGCAAAGTCTTAACCACTGGACCACCAGGGAAGTCCCTATAGGTACTTCTTGGTTATCGCTGGTGCCCACTTGTGTCCTGTTTTCCTACCATACTGCCTTGAGCATCGAGGGCCTCCTCACTCATGCTCGCCTGGGCACCTGAGCCTGGGGAAAAGCACAGAGCAATACCTGACTCCCCTGCTCTGCGACCACACTTGCGCTTTCCTCCTCAAACCTCCAACGTCTCAATTTTCACCCTTTGCCGATAAATCAGCTTTCTATGCCACTGAGAAAAGAGGCCAGTGACCACTTCTACCAGCAACCTAGACACTGCCGGCTAGGACCCCACCCCAAAGCATGCTGAGCCCTCCTCTCTCAAGAGTGTGGACCATCCACCCCCAACCCGGCATCATCCACATTCCGCATTCTCTTGCATCGCTTCTATAAGGACAAGAACACATTGCAACAACTCTCATCTTGGGGGCGGAGGGAAGGTGGGGAATAAACTCTCTTGAACTTGATTCCCTTCCAGTTACTGCCCCATTTCTTTGTTTTCAATTGCTTTTCTCTTCCTCGCTACAAATAACTCAAATCAGGCTTTTGTCCCCATCATTCCAATATACCGACCCCTGCTGGGTTCATTAATGACCTCCTCATTGCTAATGCAATGGCCAATTCTCCATCCCCTCCCAGCTTGGCCCATCAACACATTTGATAGAGCTGACCTCTCCCTCCTGGCTCTCAGCTTCACGGTTCTCCTACTTCAGTGGTCACTCCTCTGTGGTCTCTACAGCTGGTTCCCCTCGTCTCCCTCACCTCTAGGTGAGTGACCCACGGATGTTCTTGGCCCCCCTCTCTGTCTACACTCCCTCCCTAGGAGATCTGCCTAGTTTCATTGTTTTAAATAACTACCTATACTATGACAACTCTCATGTTTACATCTCCAGCCCAGACCCTTTCCTGAGTTCCAAAGCACCACCTTGACATCTCCCCTTCAATATACAACAGAACCATGAAACATCCATAACCAATCCCTGGTTGTCCACAAGCCCAGCCTCTTGGTCATGCCCAGGTCAGTAAGTGGTGCTTCAATCCTGCTTGCTGCTTAGGCCCCAAACCAAGAAGTCACCCCTGATTCCTTTTCTTTCATGGCCTGCATCTAATCCATCAACAAATCCTAATAGCTAAACAGTCAAAAAAAAACCACCCAAAATTCAACCACTTCTCCCCTTTTTCCTTCATATTTCTGTTCAAATGTCACTTTATCAGTGAAGTTTCCCAGGATAACCATATAACATGCACCCCCACAACTCTTTCTAACCACCTCAGTCCTGCTTAATTTTTTTCCATTGCCTTTATCCACATCTGGCCAGCAATAACCTACCTCATTTACCGGCTGTCCTCTCCACTAGATCATAAGCATCAGAGGAGTACGGACTTTGGTTTACTGTTTGCACCCTTAGTGCCCAGATCACGTTTCAGCACATAGTAAGCACTCAATAAATACATATTGAAAAATAAATAAATTTGCATGTTAGGTATATTAATCTTTGCCCATCATAGATGCTGTAAATAATTTTCTCCCCTTTTTGTCTTTTATCTTTGCTTATGGTGTTTGCAAGTGATACTAAAAGTGACAGGTTTTAAAAACTCTTTTCTCACCCCCAAACAATAAAAATATCTTCTTCTTTGCTAACAGTTTTATAACGTTAAAAAAATAAATTTAGTTTTAATCCACTTGGAAATTATTTTCAGTGCACTACTTAAGGTTGGGAATTTCTAATTTCCCTCCAAAGAATACAGTTATTCCAACACTACCTACTAGATCTACATGTCCTGTTACCAGTCACTAGAAATGCCACTTTTCTTGACTCATTTTTTAGTCTGAACTTTCCATTCTGTTCCCTTGACCTGCTTATTTCCATTCTGGCACCATACTGTTGATGACTATGGCTGTAAAATACATTTTAATATCTGATAGAACAACTCTTTTTCCTCTTTGTACTTTTTGTTTTCAGAAATTTCCTGGCTAGTCTTAGATGTATTCTTCGAAGAGTATTTTATAATCATTTAATCACACTAACGGCCCTGCTGTAGCTGCCATTGCTGTTATTACCAATACTACTGACATTAAGAGAAGCCAGTCAGCTGTGAGCAGAGCCCTACACTTAGGGTCTCAGTGACCATCTGGGCCACATGTCAGACCTGGGATGCCACTCCAGCCCCCACCACTCTTTCTGAACAGCCAGACATTTGCACGAGGTGGAATATTCCAGGTTTCAGGGATTTGGGGAGAAACCACACTTCCTAAACGAAGAACGACCGTCGGAGCTGCAAGGATAGTGTATCTAGGTGGTGGTGGGTAGGATAGGATTGTTACCTGAAGTTATGGTTCTTAAACCTCAGATCCACCTTGGGAGAAGCAAGGGGCCGCTGGACTTGTTGGTCACCTCAAAGCGATTTTCATGTTTTGCCGCTTCCTTTCAGGCAGTCAAGTTCTTCCAGAAACCTGCAGTGGGGCCCACAGGAAAAGAAACCCCAGACAGGTCACTTTGAAGTAGACACAGTTGAAAGTCTCACAGCAGCTGAAGGAGATGAGGAGCTCAATCATGACTCCCGATTACAGGGAGCAATGCTGAGCTCACCATCCCATCCTTCAGCTGCCTGTTCAACTCAACTGCAAACTCATGAGGAAATATGCTGGGAGATATTTTCTGTGAAAAACAATGCCTTTAAAATTACTAAACGTAGATTCTTGGACACAGCCTTAAGAGGAAGAAGATAATTATATTTTTCATTTCTCCTGCTGGGTCAAGCAATAATAACAGTGGATGCTGACTGAGCGTGTACTTGGCATCGGGCACTGCTCTTACTGCACCATGTAGATTAACTCACTTAAACCCGACAATAACTCTGAGGTAAGTATTAATACTACTGTTTCCACATTTGACCAAGGAGAAGATTGAGGCAGAGAGAGGTGAAGAAACCAGCCAAGATCACTCAGCAGGGGAGCGCAGTAGGGCTCCCAGAGCTACCCCTGCCCCTGAGGACACTACTCACCTCGCTCCTGCCAAGTGAGTTACCTACACACACACAACGTGGAACAACAGAAAGCAAGTCTTCAGGAAACATTAAGCCAAGACGAAATGCCAGCAGGGCCAATGCCTGAAATGGCTGGGAATGAGCTAAGATGTTTAAAGAAAATGTCCCTGAAATCAAGTACGTCTGGTAGAGAAATCAGTTCTGAACAGCTGCTGACGTCAAAGGGGGGGGCGGGTGGTGCTGCCCTGCCCACCTCCTGCTGGCAGGATACCGGGTCTCCTCCCTGTCCCTGTGAACCCTGAAAGGGGAACAGGCTCTAAAGAAGCCCCCTTATTCCTTCCCTGCTCTGCCTTGAGATGAAAAGACAGGGGCTTTAAATGGGGTTTTCCTGACCTTTCTGAAGCACAAATTCTGGCACTTCATGTTCCTCGGGCTAATTCTGGCCTCTTGGATAACCTACCTTGCTGAGATCATTACAAAGGTCTTCAAATGAGTATCCAGGGAATAGAAAAGACCATGTCCTTCCAATTTACTCTTCTTTGCAGTCTGGTTCAGAACCCCTCCCTGTCTAACGCTGGTAACCCCATCTCAGCCCCTGCAAAGACGTGTCCAGGAATTCCGGGCTTCAGTCCCTAA